TGTGACATTTCAGTTGGACAGTCTTACGTTCCTCAATCTTTGTTATACCTTTGAATAATTTGAGGGACATGAACCACAAAAATATTGAATTGTGGCCCAAATATTGAAATACTATTAAATAGTCACTTTTTTACAATTAAGAAAAGGGGTGGGCCGTTCTCTGCAACTCTCCTGATTAAATTAGGGTAAATAAATAATCAAACACTCTTTATTATGATTGTATTGTGTTTCTACTCTAGTGAGAGGCTTTGGTCTGAATCTCTGGAAGTTCTTCTGTTGGTTTTCTTGCTTATTCTTTATCTGATGGGAACACAGGAAGTGCTGTTTTTATCTCTTCAGAAGAAAATGACAGAACGCCATATGCTATTATTGCATCTAAGATGTGTGCAAAGGACCTGAGTTGGCCTCAACCGTGAAATCTATTTGTGTCCATAGCGTTAGGAGAGTGACAGACGGAACAGGTGCAGCGGACAGCAGAGAGAAGACAATAGCAGCTGCGCCACAGGAGACCCTCACCCACAACTGCATCAAACTACTATTACTTCAGACTCGCTTTACAGTACTTCTGACTATTATATAAAGCCGTTAATATTAATGTTTGCAAAGAAAGAATAGGTTCAATTTCGTTGAATCAAAAGACTCTTCAAACTGTGATGCAAATTCAAAAATTCTTAAAACACAGTTTTTCTTAAAAGTTTACACAGGCAGAAGTTTTTTTAATGGTTAATTATACAAAGGTTTTATTCACCCATTGTCAGTGTTTATGAGAAGCTGTTTATTTTATTTACTACATGTTTCACTTTTATGAGGACAAATAAATCTTTTCTTCTGACCATGATGAGGTATATCCATCCCCCGTTCACTGTAGCTTGGCTTTGTGAATGAGAACATCATAAAACATGTTTTTCTTGAACATCATGATACTTAAATGTATCATAATTTTCTCCAAACAATCCTAAAAATGTATACTGTATGAGCTATATGATGTAAACTACAGAATATTGTGTGTACTATATGTCATTTTGTAGTGGAAATGAAACCCAGGACCTACTTAATGTGAAGTGCTAACCACTGTGAGGCTACAGCCAAACCTTCGTTGACAAAATAATTTTTTTAGCCAACCTCAAACTTTCTTTAACTGAATTATTCTAATGAAACGTGTGACAGAAGCCGAGGAGCAGAAATGGTGCGGTACTTCAGACTTCTCCCCGGACAGTAGTTGGGGCGGACCTCCCGGGGACTCTGGAATGTTGAGTGCCACTGTGTTGCTACGGCGACGGCCTTGAGAACAGGACCCTGGGAAGAGCTGGGACTCCGCATTTCCTGAGTGTCATCGCGTGGGCGCCGCCGCCTCACACGGAGTCAGTTATGACAAACAATGATTCCGTTTGTAAAAGGTTGTCTTTAAATTGTTGGAATCTGTTTCAAAGAAATGCTCTTTATTCGTTGCTTTTTTCACGAGGTGTAGTTTAATTAAATGTTGTTTATGATGATGAAATATGCGCAGGACAATTTACAACACACTTTTTAAAACATTAACTATTTCCCGACTTGGCATCTCCCTTTTAATTCCTGCTTAACTTACTTTGTATCTAGTTAGAAATGTCTTTAAATAGTGATATTTATTCATGCATTAGTTTATTTGAATGGGGACAGTTGACCTTAATCAACATTACTGTAGATGTGTCGGTATTATCTAAACAGCAAGATTCAATGTAGTCCTGAGGCAAGTAAAATGTAAAATGGCAACAGAAAACACTGCAAACTGCATATTATGGCATCAGGCTTCTGTATCGTGTATTTCTTAGCAAATGTTTACTCTTAACATGAGTTCATTTGTTTTGAGGTTTGGGAAAGTGTGCTATTTAGGTCCTGGCAGAACTGTTGGGGATAAGACTCGGCATTAAAAGCTCTACAATCTGAACATATTGTGCTCACAGAACTCTTTTAAACAGTTTCTTTGCTCAAGAGAAATGCTCCGTGAAGAGGAAGGTTGGATAAAGTGGATTTGCAGAGTTCTGGCCGCGCTGCTGTTGTTGCTCAACAGACGCAGCTGCAGAGGTTTTGTCTCCAGACGCTCAGTTCCTCAAAGACATTACTCAAGAAGAATCTAATTCACAATTCTGCATGAGTCACAGCGAACACTCACCGCACCGTCCTGCAGCCGCTGCTCCTACTCATTATGAGCACTTCACAGATCACAGTATAATAATGACCACTAGATACTCGGTAATACACTTCATACGCTCTGAGTCACATCACAGAGTTATCTTTAGATTTGATTTGTCCAAATATTGTAACCTTTTGACGATTCCAGTATTTTGCCATGATCTGTAAATAATAATAATAATGAAGCTGGAACGTGGTTGTTCCAGGTTCGAAGGATCATGTAAAATATTGACAGTCTATAGTATCCCTCAGTAATCATTTACTGTATAAATTAGGGCTTCAAAATTATCAAGTTAATTATTCCATGACTAAAAAACTGTTTATTTATTTAATCAATTATTCTGCTTTAAAAAAACAAAAACAGGAGAAGTTGTGCCAGAGTAATTAGCACTTGGAACTCTTAACTGCTCTTGTTTTACTCTGAGCTGTTTCTGCACCGAAGGAGCTGAAACATCAAATTCACAGAAAGTCTTTTGTTTTTACCATGAATCATACTTTTTTTTATAAAACATGGATATTATGCATTTTAAAAGGCTGAGCGCGGAGCTCAACGTGGCATGTTACCCAAAACCATTAAACGCGCACAGGACATGCGTTGTCTTTGTGTACATCTGTGCAACACAATAAATACACTGTGCGGGGAAACAGTCCGCGTCTACCTCTCCTTCGAAGCGGCTTAAACGCCCTAAAATAATGCTCTGAACTAATTTTGCCACTTGCATTAAAAAGTTCATGTTTGAGCCCTAAAGTATATGTTGTTGAACAGGATTAAACAGATTGAGAGCCAGAAATTGGCTGACAATTATGCATTTCTGTCTTTTTTGACCAAGTCTTCATCACTGTAACAAAACAATAGTATTGTCCGTGTCCACCTCCCTCACTTCTGACACATGTGTATTACTACTCTTGTAATGTAAGACCTATTGTTTTTTTTACATTTTATGATATTGTTGAAACTGCCACATATTCCGAATCCTCTACCAGTATTTGCTTCCACAGTACTGTATAAAACTAGGTTCGGCAAACCTGCGGGCTCTGGAGGCGCATGGGTCTCTTTCCTTCTATTGAAGGAAATAATCCGTTCTAACGTTTTTTTATTAAGTGCGTAAAATTGTGCATTTAGTAATATTCAATGTTAACATTTCTGTCAAGTAGTGTGGCTTATCTGCGACGTACAGTAGGCCCCACCAGGCGGCTGCTGTTCTGTAACTTGCTGTAGTAATGTGCTAAACTGGCGTCTGTGGAGCATCATAGACTGTGCGCATGGAATTCCCAAAGCTAAAAAGAGAATGAGTCGATAAATAAGACTGGAGTACGAATGAAAAACTTTATATTTGCTTTCAGTCAATGAGGAAGGGGACTTTTTTTTAAAAACTTCCTGTTTGCGAGGGTAATGAGATGTTTCTATGAATAATTGTATCTGTGTTAGTAACTACAAAATGGGCCCGCTCCAGGGGTGGAGTTGTACCTGTTGTCACCTGATGGGGGGGGCGCGTGGTCAAAAGCGCTCATTTGCATTTAAAGAGACAGCACCTATACAGGTTGCTCTCAGGACGCACCTCAGAAAACATAGTGTAGAAGAAAGGCCGTGGAGCTAAAATAATGAGGACTCAGACCCAGGAATTGCATATAGGGCCACAAATTATTGATTTTAGATGTAAAAATCAATTATTTGAAAACGATCTATTCACTTTAAGAGCCGTCCTATACAAAAAATTTCCTTCTGCCCCTTTCACAAGTCCTCAACTTATCGCTTAATTTCAAGTCACGGCTGATTGTTGCACCACCATGTGCTTTGTCTCACTTGAGGAAGGAGATGTTTGTTGTGGCCCTCAAATCAATGTCATTGTCCATCTATTGTTTTTATCAGTCGCTTTAGCCAAAGCACAAATCATACTCGTCTTTGGAGGGTTGATTTTATACCCAGGTACCTTGGAGTAGACCTTCCACCCGGGAGGCTAGGAGTGTGATACCCGATAATTGGAACACACCCTCGGTCCCCCTCTTGTAGAGAGGGGGACTACACCCGGTTCTTGCCACTCATTGGCAAGGACTGGTCCTACATCAGGCAGATAGAAAACTTTGTGGAGGTGGATGTCTTCCTTCCCCCGCCAAATTATCGCGAGTCAAGGTCCGCACCCACCACTCGTACACAATAATGTTGGCTTCCCCTCCTGAGCGCCAGACGGTTTGCCGATTCTTTTCGAGGCCGACGATAGTCATGGCTCCTTAGACTCTTCGAATTCCTCCCAGTCCTGGGTTTTTTTGCGTGTGCAACAGCCGGGCTGCGGCACCTTGGCCGGGCGGTATGGACAGCTGCCTCAGGAGTCCCAGAGAGAGAACCTCTATGGCTCGATAGGACTCCTTCAGGCCTGGACGGGCATCCCTTCTACCGGTGCCCACACGGGTTGGATTTTGTCGCCGAGGACCAGCCAACAGTGACATTGCGGGGGGGGGGGTTAACCACAGATACGAGCCACCGCATCGGGTATAGAGTGGAAAAACATGGGACAGGCCTCCCCAATACTTCGTATTGGCTCGGCCTAATAATCTTTATTTACATACCGCCTTTCACAGACCAAAGTCACAAAGCGGTTTTCAATTGTTATTTTTGGGCACTTGTCCCCTCACTCCTCACAGAGATGGGAGCGGGGTCGCCGAACAGGAGGCGCATGCCAGACCTATTTTACATATTTTTAGTGGGGGAAACCTACGCAGGCATGGGGAGAACATGCAAACTCCACTCAGAAAGGCCCTGGTCCGACAGGGATTCGAACCCAGGACTTTCTTGCTGAGAGGCGAGAGTGCTATCCACTCAGCCACCGTGCTGCTCAGTAATGAATGAAGGGAGAGTAAAAAGTTACTGACTCCTGCACAGGCTCCTTTTTCTCGTCTTTCTCTTCGTGTTTGGCTCCACTGAACGCAGCTGTCGTCTGAACACCCATGTCCAGGCCCGTCCTCTTCAGCTCTGAGGCGGAGGGGGAAGGCGACTGGGCAGCTGGACTTCCTGGTTTGCTGTTGATTGTGGTGCTGGACGGGACCGCGTTTGGAGTCCCAGGCGTGATGACCACCACCCCGTCCTCCGCCGCCTCTCGTCCAGCTGCAGATTTGTTTAGGGGCAGGTCTTTTGGCTTGTCTGCGGCGTCTCTCGGCCCCTTCGTCATGATCTGTTCAAACGAAGGGTCTGGGTTTGAACTAGACTGCAACTGTAAATGTGGAAAGATAATACCTTGTAACATAACAAGTGGAGGCAAGAGTTATTGAAAGAAGAGGCACCTACCCTAAAATCTACACTAAATTTCTTTAAATTGTCTATCTGCTTTCTGTGATCGGATGCCATTGGGTTAGGTCCTGGAATTAAAAAAGCAATGATTAAAATAATGAACAATCTAATAACAAACAGTGATCTTGAGATTTACCTTTACACACTGGTCTAGTGATACTAGTGGCGCTGTCTAGGGGCTTGATGTTCTCCTTGTTGGCAGTGGGAGAGGTTTGTCTCGTCTCCTGAACTCGACAATCTTTCCCTTTTACAGAACAGACAGAATGTGCATTATTAATCATCATTGTTTACAGATTAGGTTTTTTTCCCCAATAGCAATCCCAAATCTATTTTCACCCACAAACAGAAAGGGAATTAAATTCTCTACTCACCATCAGAGGAGGGGACCATGTTGGGGGCGGGACTAGCAGCAGTGGGGGAGGAGGCTGACGGCGTTCCTGTGGTTTCTATTGGAACGGTCCCCATCTGAGGGGATGGAAGAGAAGAAGAACCAGGAGGCGCACCGCTCAGGGGGTTCTGACGAGGCGAGCGGGGTCTATGAGCTGAGCACAACACAGACATGGTTATAGAAGCTCCTCGGATGGAGATACAACAGGTCATGGTCACATACGTAAACATTCATTCATACACAGATGTTTCTCCTTATATTGAATTTCCTCATAGTGTAGGGTTCAATGGGTTACGTTCATGTTTGAGAATTCTACTTCAGTTAGAGGGCTGGTGTCAGTACAGCTCCATGGGAAAGAAGCATTTTTTACAAGACATGCAGAAAAAGAAAACGTTCAAATGTGTTCCCAGATAATTTTGACAGTGATCAGATTTACAAACCTTTACAAAGTTGGCCAGTATAATTATAATACAATATAAACAAATAATTAGACTGATGTTGATATATGCTGACAAATAATAAACATCATTTTCGTTTGATGTTTATTACATATTTCAAGGAATTAATAAACTTGAAGTCAGACTTTTGTCACATGGCCACAACCTTGAGAGGTAGGCCTGTGCAGTAAATGCTCATTCATTCCCTATTTTCCAATGTAAAAAGAAGACTGAGTTCAACGCATATATATTCATGCATTTTTACTCCCATGTGCCTCTAACATTGAGAGAGACAACGGAGACTGGAAAGAAAATACAAGAAAAACATCCAACCACTGCAGTTTTGAGATTAGATTTGTTTCTGAAGATCAAACAAACCCAGGTGGGAGACTGCGTTTTATCTTGTTCTGGTCTTTGAGAGGAGCTGGATTCAGTACAGCTCATGATCAGCACGGTTAGCAAAGAACCACATGACGTACATAAAAATATATGCACTATTACGATGACTGTCGTAGCTATTGTTTAAAAAAAATTAAGAATATATTTCCCATAAACGATGTTTATCAGAAAAGACCAAATACGATTTGTACATGTTGACTTAAATAGTCTGTTTAAAGACACCAGTTTTATCATTTAAGCAGTTATTTCATGTTTATGTTTGCGTGCTTCTCATTCCTGTGTGATGAAACACTGACATTTCCCTACAGTGGGACAAATAACTGATCTATTAATCTTAATTGTCTCCAGGGTGAAAGAAATCGCAGTTTCTTGGTTAATTTTAAATCTAAATGATTTATAACACCGCTTTGATAATAATTACCTCCGCTAACAACTGAGGACCAGGTTCCCCCTGAGCTGCTCCTTGTTGGTGGAGCAGTGGGGACCTCTACAGTGGCATTGTGGGAGATTAGCTCTAACCCGGGGGGCACGCCAGGGGTCCGGCAGGGTGGCCCTCTGTGGGTGCGAGGAGTTCTCTGGGACTTTGGAGACATTCGAGGTGGTCCTGCAAAAGTACAGACATGAAATTCATCCATTCCAGTGAGTTAAGGACTAGAGGTGGGCAATCCAGTTCAACAAACAATCATTTCTGGTTCATTATCAGGCCATATTATTGCGATCATCAGCAATTATATGAGCTCAGAGATTTTGAGATTATAAATAACTTTTTTATAATTATCATTATTATATTGTATGAATTATCTAATGAAAATTACATATTGCCCACCTCTATTAGGAGAAAACCACACCACAAAACAGCATTAAGCCTGAGCTGCCTCTCAGTATAGTTAAAATTGCATGCAGGTGAGTAAAAAAATCCAATGCCACACCAAACCACACTGCACACACATCAAACACAAGTGAACAAGACAGGGAGACAAAAAAGGATAACGGGGTTGAAATAATAATAATGATGTACGGTTTAGCAAAGCTTTATGGTAAGTGAATTGTGATTAGGCTAATTTCTACTACCAAGTATTGTGCCCGTTACATCAACATTTGACTAGAAATGATAACATATGATACCGAGTGTTTCATCTTCAGTGTTGTTGGTCTATTTTGTGTCTTAGGTCATGCCAAACAGAAAGCAGAGTCAGGCCAAAGTTCTCCCACATGCGGCGGTAAGGGTGTCCGTTTCATCCATTTAGTTACTCTCCAAATGCGTTTTTCATTTGGGCTAAACTTATTTCAATTTTCGCAACCGCACCTTTCCGTTCCACACTAGATTTGGGCCAATTTTTCCAATCACAGTTGTATTGCCTTTAACAGCTACACCGACAAAAAGGAAAATCTATCATCGTGACTTTAATCCAGACTATAGTAATCTGGATGCAAGTGAGGGATGGGAAATATGTTAGCAGCAATACTTGATATAAGTACCACATTAAATACAAAAACAACATATTAAACCATCCCCAACTCCCGTTTTCCATCCAGGAGTGGTCTCTATGCAAAAGCTTTTAAATCTAGAGAAATGTTTAAGCTCCAAGCAGCCGAATTATCTGGATGTTTGCATCAATTAAAGCTGGGGTACCTAGAAAGATCCCTATGAGTCTCTGTCTCTCAGTCTTTGGATCAGCCTTTTTAGACTGAAATGTGCAGGAGGCCCAAAAATGTGAAAACTAGTGATCGAACCAAACAGTCCAACTGTTATGGACTACACTACATATTCTATATTCTTGTGGTTAAAAAAATGAGGTACCCCAGATTTAAAAATGACAAGTTCCATTTGTTTCATGGTATAAATCATCTTAAATATTGTATCAATCATCTAGGACAAACGTTTTTCCCTACAGTCCAATCGTAAAAAATCCAAACTATAATTTGGACTAAAGATCAGCATTAGAATCACTTTAACTTGTATGGACTTTCCTTTTGTGCGGTGTATGAAACAGACTGAATAGACTGAGCTACGGCGCCTCCTTAAAACGTTGCCCAGTCCGGCTCCACACTGCGGTGGTACCTTCTGAAGACATGCGTTTGGGCAAAGTGGAAGCTGGCGGCGCAGGCCCATGATGAGAAAGAGAAGATGATGCGGCAGAGGAGGGGTAAGAAGAGTGGGATGAGTGGGAGGGAGGTCTGGAAGGTCTAGAGGGAGGTCTGGAGGGCGGCCTGGTGGGTGTGGTCGCCCGAAGGGGGAGAGAGGAGGGGCCGGGCGGGTAACGAGAGGGTGATGGACAGGGTGAGGACCAATGGGGCGAACCTAAAACAGGACATACGGACCACAAACAGGAAATGACAACAGAAAAGGAGAATGCGAGAAACCTTGAGAGATTATCTTGTTAAAGTTCACCAATTTAGATGTTTAAGTTTAATGCACACTTCTACTCTGATTAAACTTGATTGCACCTTGAGCCAAAGCAAATTCCTAGTTTGTGACTTCCTGTTACTTACAATGGCAAAAAAAAGATTCTAATGTTTGATGGACAATCTCCTATAAGGATAGGAAAGCATTATAGTCCTGGGATGTCACAATGCAAAGAGAGGCGTGTATTAAAATGTTATATTCCTTCTCAGTGGTTATCCCATCCTGTACAAAACCAGGGCTACCACTGGTTACTGTACTATTAAAGCTGGGGGATCCAACTTTCAAATCACAATAAAAGGAACAATGCAAGAATATCCTAGCTCTAAAACAGTTTGGTTGTAGCACTAGTTTTCACATCCATCTGCGATTTTGCCTCCGCTGCAAATTTTTCTCACAGAAGAGAGAAAAAGAGAGGACCACCCTCACTCATCTTTCAGGCCAAAGTGACCAGAAGACTAGGTTTATAATAATATTAGTTCACAACAATTTTCTCTTGTTGTCGGCAAGTTGCAACACAACAAAATGTATTATTTCTGGAAAAAAGGCTAGGTACCCCAGCCCAGATCTTTGTAAAACTGATGACAGAAACTGAACCTCGAGGAATAAACTATGATACAAGTTCAGCAATTAGAATTGAACAAATGTGTGCAACTATAACTTTTATAAAACTGAATTGGTGGCCTTAAGTTAGAGACGAGGAAAGGGAGGTTAAAACGAAAATGATTAAATATTAACGTCATGCATCACATTATACAGAGACAAATATATGCAGATGGAACGGGATACATTTAGTAACTGACTGATCTCATTTTTTGAAGGCATTGCAGTGTTCTTTGTACCTCCGTTCACCACCCTCTGGTCAGAACTCGAGCTGGGGCTGTAGTCGTGTGGCCCGGGGCGAGGGGTTGACGGTCCACCTGAATTCTGATTGAGACGAGGAGAGTTCTGTCTGCCTGGCCCCCACGACATGGCCTCTCTGTTCCTCTGGCCTGGAGGAATGTACTTATTCTCTCTGGGGACACAGACAACAGCAGATGAGAGCTGTAGATATAATCCATAGAAATAGCTCTCAACTATTATACTAAAAATAGACACAAAAACGTATCACTAGGGTGGTCAAAAAAAAAAATCAGGTATTTATTGATATCATCAGATACTAACAGTATTGAAACTAAATACTAATTTGAGTGAGTAAAAATTGTGTGGCTTAGGAATGGGATCAAATTTAACATTTCATGACCATTTTGGATCAATTTTAAAGTATGCATAAAAATAACTTTAATTTAAAGAATCCAAATAAACTCGTAGAATTGTAGTATTGTGACAAAACTGAGACACAGGCATCTCATACTTATTACTTGTTTCAACATATTTTTCCATCTCATAGTCTTTGCTTTTCCACATGAGTCTCCTCCTTCAGAATCCTAGATCAGCTCGCACAGACAGGCTGTAGAACCAGGACTGATATTATGGGACTCGCTCCTCTTCCTGGCATCACAGAACTGCTGTGACTGACACTGTTCCTTTGTGTTGAATGTCGTCTATTGTGCAGCCTTGTGCCGAGGGAAGACACTGCCGTACATTTTACTTTCTTCACACATAACGCAGCCCTCACACCTGTGGCGCATATGAAACAGCTTCCATAACATTTACCTGCTTAATGTGTGGCCTTCCCTCTCCCCTCGAACCACAGCGGTGTATTTATCCTCCTCTGTGCGCTCGTCGTTCTCCAGAGCCACACGAGCTTTATATGTAGCACTGGCCTCGATTTCTTCTGCCAGCTGTGCAGCTCTCGCCTCCCTCTTCATGTACTCCTCAGAGTTGTCCCGCTCAAGGGGAACCCTGCAATCATTCATCTATGAGAATATTGCTCTACAGCATTTTATAATTTTGTCCTAACTGCACTCATTAAACCAGGCGTGTCAAACAGGTCCTCAAATGGCCGGTGTGGCTGCAGGTGTTAGTTCCCCCCTGCGCAGGAGCACAGAATACTCCGCCCATTTCCTCAGGTGAGTCCAGCTGTAACCGGAAGATTTGAGGAAATGTAGGGAGTCTGGTGTGCTCCTGCTCAGGTCGTAACCAAATCCTACAGCCACACCAGCCCTTTCTGGAACTGGCTTGACACCCCTCCATTAAACGGACACCTACGTGTATGTAGAAAGGCTGCTGTCATATGTGGAATGAACACCATACTTTTCTTCATTGTATTTGAACATGTCATTGGGATCCCAGCCATTTGACTGAAGGTCAGAGATGAATAATTATTATTCAACCAACAATCTGAAATTCTTTGTCATAATACTGCTTTATTTCAGGTGATAATATGTCTTACTACGTCAGTGTCTAAAGACTCCAGACTGTCAGAGTGGTGCGTCTCTCCTCCATCCCAAGGCTCCAGGTCTTTTTCTTTGTGTTCACCGTTGATCCTTCCAGTCACAGCTGAATCTGTGAAGTTATCTGAAAAGCATGATAGCAAATTCACAAATCACTATTAATGCCGAGTATACAATGAAAAGCAGCCACATTTTGTCCATCAGAGAGCGAATGCAAGGAGCCATCATGCCTTAAAGCTTCTGCCATAACAGCATTCACCAAAGCTGTGAGAGAGCTGCATGAAGTGGTGCAGTAGCCATCAACACGGCAGAGACACAGGTCTGATTAGATATTGGTTTAACAGCCGCAGAACGCGTTTAAATTTATCAACAAAAAACAAACATTAAAACTTGTCTTATTTTACTTGAATACCAAAAAGAATATGAAGTAGCACAAATTGTGTGGCTTAGGGTTGTCATTAAAATGGTAATTATGAATTATGCAGAGTTCAAGCATGAGCATTATTAAAAGTGTTAAAGGAATAGTTCACCGTTTTTACATACTGACATATGTTCTTACCTTACCTTAGACTAGTTAATACGTACCTGTGTGATCTTAGTCCGTGCGCTCTGTTATGCAAACGGAGCAAAAACGGGAGGACAAATGCAGCCTCCTCTGGTCACTGTGTAGCACCAAAAGGTAGCTCCCGCTAGAAGCTACCAAACTCTTCCAAGTGTTCCCTATTAAATGTATATAGTTACGTGACGTGTTACACTGCAAAGTATAGTAACACAGAAATGTAACTGTCGGTTTTCTCAGCGGATAAAACGGGTACTATATTGTGAGGCGTAGTAATCTGAGGTGCGCTACGTCCGCGCACTAACTTCTCTCTGTACTACAAGTCACGCTGCTTCTATTGACGGAAGTGAGCGAGAGAGAAGTCTCCGGAGAGAAGTTAGTGCGCGGACGTAGCGCACCTCAGATTACTACGCCTCACAATATAGTACCCGTTTTATCCGCTGAGAAAATCGACAGTTACATTTCTGTGTTACTATACTTTGCAGTGTAACACGTCACGTAACTATATACATTTAATAGGGAACACTTGGAAGAGTTTGGTAGCTTCTAGCGGGAGCTACCTTTTGGTGCTACACAGTGACCAGAGGAGGCTGCATTTGTCCTCCCGTTTTTGCTCCGTTTGCATGACAGAGCGCACGGACTAAGATCACACAGGTACGTATTAACTAGTCTAAGGTAAGGTAAGAACATATGTCAGTATGTAAAAACGGTGAACTATTCCTTTAAGGAGAATGGCAAACATGCATTCTGTCAGAATTAGTACCCCAACCTCATTTATAAAAAAGCCTTTTTGCTTTCACTGGAGATATCAAACTAAATTACCCAAAATCTGTGTTATAATTCCTAAGACAAACCTTTTCTATGGGCATTGATGCAAATCATTAGTAATTGTGGTTATAATCCACTGAAAGCAAGCAACTTGCTATTACAATAGTGAAGCAATGCTGAGAGTTAGATTTGGAAGTGATCAAACCAGTCTTTGCAGTGACAATATTGGTTAAGAAAAGTGATATTTTAAGAAACTGGTCAAAATGCAAACGGCTTTTTACCTGTGTCAGATGCAACTGAACAACAGGAGAGAGGAGACAGGTTACAGGGAAACAAGAGGGTAGAAACAGAAATGTCCAAATTAAAAAAAAAAAAAACATTATTTATTAACTTTGATATTAATGTTGATACCATAAAAATTATATACACAAATTCAAAATAACGTGACGTAAATTATATTATTACTATGACTAGGATGTTTTAGATGAAGAACGCACATAGAATATCAAGTGTCTTTGCTGAGACAGGCCTCTTAATAATCAATGACTGGCCAATCGGAGCATATACTCTAGATTTAACTAAAGGCAATTCTCCTGCAACCTCCATAGGGACTAAAAACAAATATCTATACGCCTCATGTAGCAGCAGAGTGCAAATAGTGTTCTGTACCTTTTCGGGCAAAATTCAAGTCTACATCTTTGAAGGACACAACTACGACGTCTGAGGCTTTGAAAATAAGGCTCTCCACAATATCCTCTTTTCTGGGTCCTGTGTTTGGCTCTGTGCTCTTTCTGTGGGCAGCGTCCAACACCAAGTCACACTACAAAAATAAATGAAAATCACACATGAGCTTTCAGCCACTGAAAAACACACACAAAATAGGAGTACGCTAATTAATGCATGGCAGTTTTCCTTGAACCATTTGTTCAAGAAGTGTTACGCTACAAATTGACACAAGATGATATCCATGTAAATGTCATTGTGCATTACAGGACAATGGGAAGAAAAGGAGCACTCAAACAAGATAATGAGAACAAGAAAGCTGTAAATATCTAGAGAATCTCTTTGCTTAAAAATATTAATTAGAGACATGGAACTAAAGTTATGATTACACTTGGGAAAGACGTGTATTGCTGTTACTTTTGTATCATGTTTATCGTTTTGTCTTTTTTGTCTCCCCCAAATGTAATAAACTGGATTCCAAAATAATATTTACAGTGATCCATAAACTCTGTCCAAGGATTGACCATAGGCCTAAACAGAATAATAGCAGGTAATGGACCAAAGTATTGCACTTTATTGCTACAGATTTATGGGAGATTGAAAAGCAGTGTTTTCGTATTTAAAAAATATATATATTTATCGTTTTATTTTTAGCTCAAAGTTTGTTATTTTCATTGTCTCAGCCTTCATGCAGGCACAGACAGCCAACAGAAAAATGAAGGGGAATTTTCTACCGAAAAGGGAAAATGAACAATCACCTCCCTCTCCTCCATAATAGGAGAGATGGAAAGCACTGACTACACCTTTGGCTGCAGATGATACCAGCTTCCAGTAAACAAGAGTCTTGAAGTCAAGTCAGTTTATTAGATAAAGTTCATGCCTACTTTCTCCCACACTTGTCTCCAAAACAATATAGGGAGTACAAGTACACATACCTCTGGCCCATATGTTTTAAATACTCCTTCATAGACGGCTCCATTTTTTACTTTCAATTCACACTTTGTCCCCTGTAAACAAAAAAAATGGACCATAATTAATCACTGTGTGCACTTTGCATACAGTTTACACATTGAAGAACCCATCTGCTGTGAAATGGCCAAAAGATTGATCTAGTCTGTTTGTGCCACCAGCTGTCTCTGCAAATCGCGCAGGCTTTGTTTATTGCAGAGTGGACGTTTTGAAGAAGGCACAACATACAGCAGTTAGTAATTTCTTTCGGTAAGTATATTCACATACTCAGCGTTTGGCAATGATGCTCTATTAGTCATAGGAAAATTGCATATGCTGAAACATTCACACTTACCACTACTGAGGTCAGGACATGGACCATCCTCATATTGGCATACACGCCATTAAAAATTACCTTAGGAAGAAAAAAGTCAAAGTTGATTTAAACAACATTTCCAAGGCCTGTCACAATCACATATTTTATGGACAATATATTGATATAGAGATTAATGCAATAAACTATAATATTGAAATTATTTTTTACGCATAAGTCATTAGCCAACAAAAAAACCCAGCATTAAGCAATAGTTTGCCAGAAAAATAAGTCAAAGAGGGTAGCATATAGCTTCACTATTGCAAATAAAATTTACAGATATAATATTGATCCCAAAAATGTATTGTTCCAAAGATTAAATATTGAAGAACAACTCTGTCATGATATAATAATTTTTTGTATACTAAAGGTAAACTCACAGATGAAGGACCCTTTCCACTGTGTCTTCCCCTGTAAAACAAATGATTGATGACACGGTAAGAATGAATCTTCAACATTTACAAGCAAAAATGCATTTGTCAGTTAAATTAAACATTACAGAGCACGTCCTAAATTGGCCCCGGGAGACTCCCACACCAACTCTTCCCATTAATGAAACTTACGGTACTAAATGGAGCCATTTACTTGATAACATTAAATTTGTCATGTACATATCAGCCAAATCTACGCCACAAACGGGACGCGCAATGACCGTAGAAACGGTACCGTGGCCTGATTCTGGACAAATGCACAATGCGCATGAACCTCCTTACGCGTGCACAAGTTCATTCATGTAGGAGCTCAGCACAGTAGCCTACATGTAAAGATGTGTCATGTTTCAAGGGCACTATTTCACACGAGTCGCATCGTCAAGGTTGAAAGACTGACGGTCTAATTTCTCTTTCCCCTCGCCCCGTCCTGTCCCACACCCACACCAGAGCGCCAATATTCCATGATCATATGCAATTGGACAAGAATAATGCAGCGATTGATCGTTTAGGGATGCAGATCCACAGTGGAGGGTGTCATAACATTAACAACACTAAAGCCACTGGAATTGAATGGGAGGCATGGGTTGTCAAAGGCTATTTTACGAGTGTCAAAATTGACTTCCAAAAAGGCAATAACAACTTGCAAAAAAACTTAACATCACCAAGAAAAAAAAGAGTCCCACAATAAAGGCGATGATAACCAGACAGCTGTCACTTAAAAAACAGCGTTAAGAGCTCTTTTGGTCATAATTGTATCATGGCACGCAGGCCTTGGCTACAGATACACTGAACAGCGCTACGGACACTAGGCCCAAATACTGCTCACAATCGCGTAACAACGCCAGTAATTCTGAACCACAATCAAGGATGTCATCCAATGCAACTGCAAGGGCTGCAAGCAGCGGCAGCAATACCACATGGACACAATACAAACGTGCTTCTCGGTGTTTTAACTGGTTTGTACAAACCTTCCAAGACTCTGTCTCCCCCCGCCACTACCCCCGGCTCCGGAGGTGTTCCCAGCACTGCTGCCACCGCCGGGTTTGCTGCGATTTCCACCGGCCTTCATTGACATGATGATCCCATAAAAGAAACCGTATTAAACAATCTGCGCCAAAAATATGACGAATAGTTGTGTCACCGCTTGCTAACGTTAGCAATCGGAATCCGACTTGCGTGAAGGCTAACGTCAACGTGCCTCTGAGGAAGATGATATGCTATGCTAAGAGGATAGCGAGCTAACAGTTGCTAGCTCAATTAGCAATATGTACAATTCCTATTAAAACAGAAAAAATATACACTTTTAAAAAGATAACATGCGCCAGTATGTTGTCCGAACAAAACACTGGGCTTAGATCCCTTAGTCGGTTTGCCGTGTAAAGCTAACTAAAATGCATATACTATTTAATTGGGTTTGTAGCTATCTCGGGTTCTTTACGTTGCTAACAGCGCAAAGACCAAAACAGTCTGAAAGGGACAAAAAACAGCGGAGGGATATATGACAGGCGGGATGTACGTTACGTGAAACCAGGCATTATAGAGTGGCATTTTGGCACACTATTAACTTGATTTAACTATAGATGAAAAAAATCTTACACAACACATTTCTTAGAAACAAACAGTGTTATTTGGCAGGTTTGCATTCAGCTCATGGCACTATTTTCAGGAAGTTGCCCCATCCTCCCTGCAGCAACATCCACGTGAGCCGGTGAATGGTGAACACACGCAGTCAGAAGCGCTGTCAAAGCATGGGGGGCTTTTAAATCCTTTCTGTCAGTTTAGGATCCCTTTACTTGAGGCAATAAAGAAACATGTATTACCAAATACCCGCAAATGAATATGCTCTAACCAGCTGAAACCAACCATCAGGACAACTTTGATTTAAAATGGTGCCCTCATCAATGACAACTTGAAATTATCTCACTGTGAAAAGACTATTGGTTTATATTTTGCATATTTTTCTTGTTGTATACAAATCCATAGCTCCAAGGTTTTTACGTTTCTCTTAATACGAATTTTGTTGGTTGCAAAATACTCCTTGACTTATGGTATCTTGTAACCTTACATGTCTTCTTTTGTGCATTTGTTTAGTTGCACTATGGTGTAAATAAAAAAAATATTCCCTTGCATAATTTCAAACAGGCGTTTACCTCAGTCTACTATAGCGTAATGTCGAGACCAAACCGGGATTAGCAATGTAGCACAAGACAAGGAGAGCGCTTCCATCCGTGAGAAAAGCTGCCTTTGGTTTGTTTGTCATCGATTCAAGGGGTCCGTTTCTAGCAAGACGCCAAATTGTATTTTTAGGGACTGTTGCTTTATTTTTGCTCGGGCCGTGTCGAAGATAAAGTTGCTACAGTGTTAGCCCGATAGAGCTAGCCTGGTCGCTTTGGCATAAAGACTGCCCTGCGTTTTTGTTTGGGAACACGGTGTGCCCCTTCAAGCGACCCTGCGTTTCTGGTTGTGCCATTGAAATAGTAGTTTGCCTATAAGAGTGGCATTGAGCCACATTGGTGTCATCCGAATTTGTGAAATCATGGAGTGACATCAACCAACAGTCCTGCTCACGAGAAAGCTAGAGTTTCTCTCGTCTCTTCTCAACTCTTCTACTCTAACTAAAAATACTTCTCTGCAACTCCCCAAGTGTGCTCGTCCACACTTTTTGTGTTTTGATGTGCATGGGAGAGGATCCTCAAACTACATGGTCTCCATACCCAGCTCTGGACCTGAAGAACGAGTCCGACCCCAAGGAGAAGAGCTAGTTTGGACTTTTATACAGGCTGCATCTGGATGACTGTTCTTCCTCTTGAAATGGTTCGATTAATGACAGCTAAACTGAGTTGAGTTCGGACATAAAGCCAAGATACACAAACGGGGTCATATGTCCAAAGCTGCAAACAATGTCGGAGGATAACAACGCAGACAAGTTTATTAAGGTACATAAAGCTTTGTCTTTGTAATATTTACGACATAGAGGCTCCAACTTGGTCTTCCACAAGAGTAGGCTTTGAACACAAAGTGTAGTTTTTGTTTGAATGTGTTTGGGGAGGGGATATTTCCGATTTTCATTGTCAGTGGAACTTTCAAAAACGTTTTGTTTCTGTTTTGCCAGGAGTCTTCCATTCTTGATGAATATAACATAAACTGGACACAGAAGTTAGGAGCTGGTATTAGTGGACCTGTGCGGTGAGTTTAAATGTCGTTCTCATTCATTCAGAAGTGAGCCATATCAGAGCAGTTTTGGAAGTAGTGACCTTCTTTTTTTTTTTTTTTTTTATAAATTGTCCCTACTATTAAAACCAGATCATTTTGAAACATTTCATTTCAAATGGTCTGTCTGCAGCTGCTGTTGCAAAAAAGTTACAGTGATTAGCATATAGTGTTCAATCAATCAATCAAATTTTATTTATAAAGCGCTTTTCATACATAAGATGCAACACACAGAGTGTTATTTCTTAATTTTATGCAAGCTATTTTATGGCCCTTTATAATAATAATTAACTAAAGTATTGAATAAAATCCTGGACACAATTTAGTTTGATTAATAGTACATGATAAATAATAATAAACAGCAATCATTCTCACAAAACAAACCTGTGTTTCCATAGTTTTTGTCATGCATTAGTATACATTTTGCTCTACCTCGTGAGTAATTATTTTTTTATTCAGGTAACTTTTATTTTGCTCCTCCATCATACTTTAACCATATTATTTCTGCATGAATCATGAGCTGGTTGTCAATGGCGTTACATTGCTGTCGGTCACCTCTCATTACACCACTCATTCACTTGCAGCCGGTGACTCACTTCTCCAGCTCTGACTGTGATTCATTATGTCTGCATTTCCAGTAAGTGAACTTTGATCACAGCCAAGTGTTTCACGCACTCCCTTAAGAGGTTAAAGGACTGTGTAAGTAGAAGGCTTTTTGGAAATGGTTGACCAATGTCAGGCTTTGGGTGCATTCACACTTACTGCTCTAATCAACCTGGCTCACTTTGGGGTAATAAAGCAGAAGTCTTTATGAAGTCAGTGAAATGACTTATGCAACTAGTGGATCAGTGTGAAGCACTTGTTTGGTGCTTTCACCAAACTGACCAAAGGGTGGAAAACAATTCATCTTTTATCCTGTCCCAATTTATTTAGTAATAATACATAGGACTGCAGTAGACATCATTGGGGTAATAAAACTGCATTACTGTTGTGACATGAATCAAATTAAAAATGGATGATCAATTTGACTTTCGGCCTGTCCTTAGCTGCATTAAAAGTACAGTAGTACAGGTAGTTTATTCCCTAGTACTAGTCATTACAATGTTTTAATCCAAACCTTTTGTGGTCAATGTCCCAGTATTTAACCTTAAAGGCTCTTTTTATGCACTAAATGCAAAGATAAATGGGCAGCACGCTGACACAGTGGTTAGCACTCTCGCTTCTCAGAAAGAAGGTACTGGGTTCGAATTGTAGTCTGAACAGGGTCTTTCTGAGTTGGAGTTTGCATGTTCTCCCCTGTCTGCATATGTTGCTGCCGTTTCCCCTACCACTAAAACATGCTTAATGGGTAAAATCCTCCAGCTCTGGTCCCCCGAGCATCAACATCTGGGTGCTGTACTACAGCGACCACTTCTCCTGACAGGTCCAGGATGGGGTAAATGCAGAGGACAAAGTTCTCTGTACATCTATTACACAAGTTGACAGCCAAAAAATGGTCAGGGGTTTCTCAACTGATTTAGACTAGTTTTGGCGTTCTGAGTCCGAATATCCCATGCATTTTGCTCTATCAGGTCAACTTTTTGAGATACAGCCATAGTGTTACGGATTATGTACGTCTACGTTATTATGAATTCTGCTTATCAAATATGATGGAGTAAATAAAAACTGAATGACTTTGGATACGTTGACTTTTATTTCTTGAGGAAAACGGAAAGAACTTCAAGGGTTTCTCAGCTGATGAAATCCTGACCTGATTGAGCAAAACAAGGGTCATTTTTGGACTCAGAGCATCAAAATTAGTCTAATTCAGCTGGAAAACCCTGGACTATTTTCAAAAAATATTTTTTTGTTACCCAGTGTTATTATTTTTCAAACATATGATTTGCCCAAAGTTGCCCAAAAAAATATCCTCACATAGTGACTGATTTGATATAGCAGCCCATGAAATGATAGTATGATAGCTATTCACACCACTATAGAATAATTTCCACACTGTATTAATATTTATCTTATTATTTTTACTTATCATATTATAGTGAAGAGGTAAACCACAGTCATAATATCTTACTAATTCATATTATTTAAAAGTGTTGGTTTGTGTGGCTGCCCATCTGCAGTGTCCGTAGATTATCTCATGTTATTCGCCACAAGTGATATTCTATATGAATGTCAATGTAAGGAGCCAAACCACACTGGACTCTATTGATCGCTCATTTCTCCAGCGACAGAGGGGCTGAGCCTGGTTTGTTTGTTCTGTATCAGAGTATGCGTGAAAAAGTCAACTCAGGAACGACTGGCCCTCAAGATCCTCATCGATCGCCCCAAGGCAAGGAATGAGGTGAGAGAGCGAGCACTTGATTAATGCTGTTGTCTTTGGCCTTGTGCGTGTGCTTTGTACTGCTGCCTGTTCGTGCTGCTTAAAATGTTTCCCTTTGTCAGCACTTAGTCCATACATGAATCTGCCACGTAATTAGACTTTAGTCACAATGTAAATGCTGGTTTATTGTTAAAGTAAAAACAAACAAAAAATCCTTTATTCTCCCCAATAATGTTGTCTCACATGGAACACACTTATGATCATTGTACCTTTTGCGTTTTCCACTTGTTTGTTTTAGGTGCGCCTCCATATGATGTGTGCGCAACACCCAAACATAGTTCAGATTTTGGAGGTGTATGCTAACAGTGTCCAGTTCCCACATGAGTCCAGCCCCAGGTAAATCACAGAGAGTATTTCAACTTTAAGTTCACTGGTTCACTTGGGGAAAGAATACTTCACAGATCTGTTTCAAAAGATGTAAACTGACTTAAAGCTGGGGTATCTAACTTCAGAGTATGTTGTCTTTAGTAATAAGAACTACTTGGGTAAGAAAAAGCCCTGTGAGTCACTATTTGATGCTTTGGGCTGAGAGCTGATGAAGGTGGTCCTCTCATTTTTACTTCTATGCCTGAAAAAATTGATTGACGAAGGCTAATGATACCTACAGGGAAAAACTGCTTTGATAACGAGGAACTATTAGATGCATTTTATTCCATGTTTAAATTTGTTTTTGCTTTGAAAGTGGGATTTGCCAGCTTTAAGTAACTATTATCCTCTTGTTTTAGTGGTTTTACATCCACAAATAAAGCAGTTTTGCCCCAAGTAAACCAGAAATGGTGAAGTGAACCAGACCGACAAGTGTGAACGCGCCCTTTATGTTATATTTACAAAAAGCATGTTTCCTGTTTTCATCGTTCTAGAGCTCGTCTCCTCATCGTCATGGAGATGATGGAGGGAGGGGAGCTTTTCCACAGAATCAGTCAGCACAGACATTTCACTGAAAAGATGGCCAGCCAGGTCACAAAGCAGGCAAGACGATTCCACAAGTGTATATGTGTTTGCTTACAGAGCCTGAATACTGCAGTGGGCTTTTTTTTAATTAACCTTTTTTTGTCTGATTTGTTTTTTTTTTATTTAATGGGAAGTTTCACCAGACTGTCCAATTTGGCAAAACTTTAAAATTAATGAAATACATGATGTATAATATCCTAAAACAAAAGATTCAATTTGTAGTGTGAAATTTTTTTTAGATAATCAAATTGTTCGTTCAGAGTTCCAGCTGAATAATATAGTAATGTTTCTCAAAAGCCATTTTCATAACGTTACCATGACTTTTGAGTCAGTCTGTTATTCAACGCAGAGATGAATCATTTATCTCTGAATTAGAATGATATCCTTGACATTTAACTGTTGCACTGCAAAAAATGATGATATATGTATATATGAGGTAATAAGTTATTAAATCAACTATATATCTTAATTTGAGTACATTCTGACTGATTTGCTAATGGGACAAAGCCATTTAGTCTTATTTTATGAACTGTTGCATTTTTTCTCATTTCAAGGGAGAATTTTTTTGTATCTTTTTAAAACTAGATAATGTTGCTTGTCCCATTTGCCAATCCTGTTTTTAAGGCAGTCAAAATGTGCTCAAATTAAGATGCAAATTTGAGAACTTTTTAAACTGATTTTTCATCACTTTTCGCAGTGTGCAAAATTTTTGCACACCGCAAATGTTTTTTTTTTTCTTTTTAGGATAATTTTTGATTTAACCAAAACCTTCGGTACTTGCAGGAGGTGATTCTTTCAAAGTACAATTTTTGAGCATACATTTTTGAAGCTCACACATCACCTTACTGTTTCTATTCTTGTTTATCTATTTTTGCTTTAGTTGTAAAGTTAGTTTATTGGTAAACACACAGTTTATTTACTCTCTTCTTGTTTTCAGATCAGTCAGGCCTTGGAACACTGTCACTCCTTAAACATCGCACATCGAGATCTGAAACCAGAAAACCTGCTGTTTAAAGACAACTCTCTTGTAAGTTTCATAGAGGGGGAGGGTTAGTATGTCACTTCAGGTTCACTGCACACGTAACTTACCTTCTTCAAGATCGTCTTGTGATGGTAACTTCTACATTAAATGCCTGCTCTGTATTTTCAATGGAAATCAGACACTATGTGCGAGGATGGATCCTATTTTGTGGCACTTACAGTGAGGCCGTTGGTGCTGAATGAAACAGCGATTGGGTCATTATCGCTTGTGTAGGACTAGGCTTGTCACATGTATTCAAATCCACAGGGATAGCCGTAACTGTCTCTACTCTGTCCGTACTGACTCACTCGTGCTCTTATTTTCAGGATGCCCCTGTGAAGTTGTGTGATTTTGGTTTTGCCAAAATTGACCAAGGAGACTTGATGACGCCTCAGTTCACTCCTTACTATGTAGCACCTCAGGTACTTGGAACCCAGACCACTCTTAACAATAGGAGACTACAGGTTAAGCATGTGTGATCTATCCAGGTACTTGAGGCACAAAGAAGACACCAGAAGGAAAAATCTGGAATAATACCTACCTCACCAACTCCCTACACATACAACAAGGTAGGACAACAAAAGATAACAACAGTAGTTTAAGAATGGTTGATGAGTGGATGAACAATGATACACAACAGTAGTCATAGAGACACTGTAAATATTTTGTAACAATCTTGACAAATCTGATGTTTAAAATGGGTCCTGCATCTTTCTACCTTCAGAGCTGTGACTTGTGGTCCCTGGGTGTGATCATCTATGTCATGTTGTGTGGATATCCTCCATTCTATTCAAAGCACCACAGTCGAACAATCCCCAAAGACATGAGGAAGAAAATCATGACCGGCAGTTTTGACTTTCCCGAAGACGAATGGAGCCAGATATCTGAGATGGCCAAGGACATTGTGCGAAAGTATGTATTTACCCATTGTTTTTGACCACCGGTTTTTAGACTTTTGGATTTAATATGCCGTGGGGAGTGAGGGCTTGTGTGGAAAAGGGCCATTGTCTTCATGGTAATACTGTACGAGCAAATAAACGGCAATGGTGCTTCAGGCATGTAGTTTTAGCTCATGTATCACAAAGGTCTCAGCACAACCCCTTATTGATAACAAGACGGCACGCAGCCTTGAGATTACTGTGTCATGTTTTGCAGTCTCAAAGTCTCATGGTGCAGAGCAATTGCCCTTATAAGCTAAAACAGAATTTTATTTGATGACAGTATCTAAACATTTTAGGGATGTACTGTACTGTATTTTTCTTTTCTTTTTTTATACATGGTGGGATGTATGGTATTTTCGGTGAAAAAGTCGGGCAGACCCAGGGACAGCGTCTTCTTGAGCAGCGTGGCTAATGCTTTGCTAAATCACAAGTATTGGGTTGCTATGTGCTTGGGAAGGCTTCTGTATTTTCACAAGCTTTTAACAATAATGACTGAAAATTGTTTCCTGTAGAAACAAAGACTTATTTGTAGTTTGTGTTAGAGATAAAAATGAAACGGTTTTAATATGCAAGGATTTTAAAAGACAATTTGGTCTATAAACTAACATATGAATAGGCTGTTTTTAAGGTGTTTTTGTTACTGGTGATAATTTGATTTAGAATTACCTTCAACTTGGAATATTGTAGACATAAATAATTGTACAAAGCCTAAAAGTAATAAGATTGGTACCTGAAAGATATCAGTTTCTAGAATTGCAATGATGAAAATATCTGCATGGGGAGCTTGAAGATGCATTCCTAATACAGTATACTTATTTTTTTTTTTTTTGAATGATATTTCGTCCTCCAGACTGCTGAAGGTAAAACCAGAGGAGAGGCTGACCATAGAGGGCGTTCTGACCCACCCCTGGCTCAACTGCACGGAGGCCTTGGACAATGTGCTGCCCTCTGCTCAGATGATGATGGATAAGGTGTGTGCGCAATCATTTTAGAAATCTTCTTATGATACATGTTAAGTTTTTGCTGAAGGAGAAAATTAGCTGATATATTATAAACCTAACTGCAATGTGTAGTGCTCTTCTACTTGCTTTGTAAAAGAAACTGTGTAATAAAATCCATCTGACTAGTTCATAACACTAAAACACTTTGGTATGTACATGTGGTTTTTGGCCTCTGTCGCATTGTTTTCATACCCAAAAAGAGAAAAAGAGGACCATTCTCGATCAGCTCTCAGCTCTTGACATGTCACTTTTTTATGTTTGTTATTGGAACAAACTTGTATTCATTATTACATGAAAAAGTAACATATAACAGTCATGATACAGTGACAGTAAATAATCAACCCTCAGTTCAAATCAGAGGAGTCTTAACAAGGATGGATTCTGCTTTTTTGTGCAGAGGCAGCTCATTCCAATGTCTTGAAACGGCCACTGCAAACACTCCATTCCCTCTCTGTTTAGTTTTGGGACCATAAGAAGAGCTCGTTCATTGTAAAGATTGTCGTATTTGTTTGTGCGGCGGTCTCTCATTGCGCCTTTTCTGTTTGTAGGCTGTAGTAGCAGGCATCCAACAGGCCCATGCAGAGCAGCTCGCCAACATGAGGATACAGGATCTCAACATCAGCCTCAAGCCGCTTAACTCCGTCAACAACCCTATTCTCAGGAAACGGAAACTACTCGGGTACAGTGTTCATTTCAAAAACGATTCAAGTTTGAGTGCGTGCTTACGTTACTCTGGCAACCCAATATTCCCACACTTGAGCCAAACTGCTGCTATAAAACAAAACAATGCTTATTACACCAACATTACACCAGGACTGAAAACCTTTTTTTTTTTTTTGTGCAGGCCCAAGCCCACGGATGGTTTCTTCATTCATGACTCTGAAAATGGCGATGAAGATGCAAACATTGCACTTGAAAAGCTCCGAGACGTCATTGCACAGTGTATTCTCCCCCAGGAAGGTTGGTACAGAGACTATTATGTTCTTGGCACAACGTTATGTGCCCCATAACTCTTCTGTGCGATTCAATGCAGAAGTTTATCACCATACTCTTTGGGCGTCTATATATAAGATAAACTAGGCATTAACTGACCTCCTAAGCTGATGTCGGAAAGTTGTTTGAAAGGGGTGTCGGGCACAAATCTCAAAAGACCATTTGAGATTTTATATAATGGATGAATCGTATTTTATTGTGAATTATTTTTAAAGCCTCAGTTAGTATTGACATGGAGAATTTTCGCTATAGATCTAAGTCCCTCATGTATTTACAGGAGAAAATGTGGACGAGAAGCTGAACGAGGTGATGTATGACGCCTGGAGGTTCAACAGAGACTGTAAACAGCTCAGAGACGGACTGCAGGGGCTCAGCTGGGACGGTCAGCACTGTCACTCACTTATCACAGTATACACTGGAGTTAAGATGGTGTTTAAACTCGTCCAGGAGCCATAACCTTATATTTTTATTTATTCATTTATTTGACAGGGAAAGTACAAAAAAAACATTGTCACCCATAGGTAACCGATGTCAAGTACATAGGGCCTCTAGACAAAGGCAGCCCCTGTTTCTGGTTAGGCTTTTGGAGAACAGCAAAGTTTAGAAAAGAGGGGAGAAAAAAAACAACACATCAATACAAATAATAACTGGTCCATACTCCATCCAGTTTTAGTGCTCACATTTCGGATTTTCCTTAAGCCACTTTTTCAGTTTTGTGTAGAAGAGTCTAATGTCTGACGGTGACTTCAGTTCCAGTGGCAAAGAGTTCCACAGACGCAAGGCTTTCACTGAGACTGACCCAGAGTCGTCTGGCACTTTCTCACTCTGACTGCAGTTCGAGTCTGCATACCCTCACTGCTGTACCTTTGGATATCTTTACACATTACTTCAGGGGCTAATCCATTAAGACATTTAAAAATTGCTTTTAAAAAGGTGAAACGTATACAATTATCAGAACTCATGTTGTATTTTTGAGTAATTTGTCAGTGATGATGCGTCATTGGCTTTCGATCATATATTTTGTTTGTTCATATGACAACAAAGGCTTCACTACAGATTTTGTGAGAAATGTGGAAAAGAAGAAGTCTAAACCACAGTTTTTATCTACACTAAGCATGAAGGTTCCCGCAGACTGCTGTCCTTGCAAAAAATATTTTTAATGGAAAATGTTACGTTTCGGTCCTGAGACCTTCATCAGGCAAATTGCTGCACTAAGTAGAAAGGATGCAGCAAAGGTTAAAGATGAAAATGAGAATTTTCCCAAATTTTAGGAAAGAGCCGTCCTCTCCACTTTTTGAAAAAATGCGAATTAATAAAGCTCTACCTGCTCCTGAGAGGGAACGCCGACTAAAACGTGTGCGAGACACGTGTATGAGCCATGTTTTTGAAAACTAATAGATCCTTCTAGGACGAGCACGTACAACGACCTTACGTCACATATCACCAGAATGATTGAAAATTAGGAAGACCAATAGTCTCGACGATCCACCCGTAAAAAGAACATCCTCCTCTTTACCTTTAAGTAATAACAAGGCCATATTTTAAAATGTATTAAGTTTTCTGGTTTTAGACCAAAAACTTATTTGTTTTGGTGTTTCACTAAATGTCCGTTTCAAAAGAAAATAAATTTAACGGAAAATTGAACCATGAGATTTAAAGCACAATTAAATTAACCTAGACCCAAGTCTCCAACCTTTATCCCCCAGAGAGCTACTCCTATGAGCGATGGTGAGCAGGCTTTAGATCACATGTGTCAAAGTCAAGGCCCGCGGGCCAAATCCGGCCCGCGAATGAATTTTACATTAGTGCCATTGACGCACTATTACGTCAATTGCGTTTTCCGCTATTTTCATGTTCCCAGATGTCTATTATCTCTAATATGTTTGGGGATAAACTTGAGAGCATATTGAATCGAGCCAGCAGATGGCAGCAGCGCTCTCTGAATGGTTTGAAAACAGCTAGATGCACTTGTTGTGCCTCTTTTGACGCACTCTTTTTTTCTCAGCTTTTTGGTGATTTCAGTAAAACTTCCCTCTACTCAACTGGGGATTACAAGCTAGAAACAAAATTATTTTTGCTGATGAAAGTAGACAGTCTATTCTTTCAGAATCTGGTTTCGGATTTCAGATAGTCATAGTACACAATATTCTGTGGGTCTTGAAAAATCGATAAAAAATAATCAGAAACTGCTGGCAATATGGGAGTACCTGTTCTGAAATAGGCTGGCAGTCAATGAGTTAATAAACATTAAACCAGTCCGGCCCTCGGCTCACAGCAAATTTGTTTTTTTGGCCCTCTGATGTATTTGACTTTGACATGCCTGCTTTAGATGGAATACAACTCCTTATCTGTATAAAAATCACATGTTCCTGAAATCACATGATGTGTATTTAACCAATCAGACCAGACTTCTTGTCTTGTGACCAAAACTCAGACGCCATAGTCTTGCCCTCCCCTGGTGTACGGTGGTGTATGTAGTATGTGATTCACACTGGAAATCTGCATTTGTAATCATTCTGTTTTTGTGTGTCACAGGTCGAGCTTTCTCTGATAAAGTCGACCGGTTGAAGTTGGCTGAAATCATAAAACAGGCGATTGAAGAAAAGACAAATCTCCAAGAATCACACTAGCAAGTGCTGTCCGTCTCCTTTTTATATCGATTATGATTCTTTTTAACCCTTCTCTGTATAGAAGCTTTTATATGTCCAATGTAGGCAGTTTTCATGAAATCACATGCAGGATTTAATGTACAGCTGTGAATATATTTCAAAAGAGGACTCGTTGGTACTAACATTTTTACAGAAATGTGCAAAGAACATGGGGGGGAAAAGACAATATTTTCAGTTAAAGACGACAGAAATAACCAGTCCAAGAAAGTATTTTCTGGGAGAGAATTTCTATTTGATGTTAGTCCAACACCGCCTGTTTTAATCCTAATTATTTAATTTAGTTGTATTTTATGTCCAAACCTGTATCCAAACTTAATTTATTTTATAAAAGAGTGTGTTTTATATTCTGCATTAGCTGTAGCCTGGCAGTAGAAGGCTTTAACAATGACGAGCTGTTCTTCCAAACACTTTTGCTGGATTTCAGAAGGCCTCAACAGTTTACAGTTTAGATTCAAGTAAACATGATGATAAAATAATGGCTCTCATTATCGATATTATTTTAGAACATGAATTCAAACTAATGTAAGATTATCCCTTCTGTAAAAGTCCATAGTAGCGATCAGAAAGACCACTATCAAGACTACTATACTCACCGTCTGCAGCGGTTTCTCTTCTTACACATTGCCGCTCCTGTCTGCTCCTAAAGGTCTTAGTCACTTTCAGCGCCTGTAAAAAACTACTGTGAATTTCAATAAGCGTCACTCTAAGCAAAAAGCAGAATACTTAAAAAAAAAAAAGAAAAGAAAAAAAACAATGAAATGTGCAATATCGCTAAACCACACAATGCCAGAAAATGACTTTACAAACAGCTTTCCTGCTCGCTTACTTCCATTTTGGAGGATTCCGTTGATACAGCAAACATACCTGCTAATAAGATCCTTCTAAAAAATCATTGTTATTCTAAGTAATATAAAAGCAACGAGATTCTTATACAATTTCTATGTACAGGGGTTATTATAGTAAAGAAATCACATGTTGAATCGGTCTACTTTGAGAACACGGTGATGAGTTTTGGCATATCACTTCACATTTAGATGTAAACTGTGTAGTACAATGTAGCAGTGCGTCAGTATTCCAGTCCAACAGATTTTCCAGCTTTTTGTTATGTTTTTATTTTATTTTTTTGCTCTGTTTGCTGCAACTTAAGGCAGAGATGTAAAATGGAAATGTCAGCTGTCGAAAAAAAGTGCTTTATTTTGTACAAAGTGGACAACTTTACCTATAATTCCCATTTACCAGTCATCATTTTACTTGACATGTGTTTGGAGGTGGCGTACAGGTCACAGGTCGGTAGAATTTTGATTTCACACAACACGGCTATTTGACGTTAAGCATATCTGAAATCAAAATATAAAAAGCTGAAAGCATTAAATCAGTAAATTTTGAAAGGGTCTGTAGCTCAATTCTCAAATGTATTCTTACATTTTTAGTGGCCCTTGTCCTTCAGCTGAGAGTACAAACTGGAACATACCCACCACAATAACAAATCTGAAAGTATTTGAACACTTTTCTGGAGATGTTCAAAAGGCCTTTTCTAAAACATACATAGCCAGTTTTATGCTCAAGCGTGCCTTGTTCACGACGCAGACCCATGCTGACAAGCTGCACTGTACATGTTTTTGTTTCTGCAACTGTTTGGTCATTTTCTCTTCAAATTAGTTTTGATTTTCCAATGTTTTTTTTTATCTTGGTATGCAATTATTCTTTAGCAAAAGTGCAAGATGTTTTCATGTTGTGTATGCACTTAATGTATCTCTATAGCTTTCTTATTTTGCATTTATTATGAGTAAAACCAAGATGCTTCCTTCCAAATCTAACTTATTTGTATGTTGCAGGCAAAGGTTCCTCAGTCGTGCAATGAGAAGCTTTAGATCCTCCCAGTGTTACGAGCCAACCTACCTCCCTGCATTAGTAGCTTTGTCAAAAACACCCTTGCAGTTTCTTGCAGGCTCTTTCTTTCTGATTGTTTTGCTCTAATAGAAGTGATGGCACTAGTCCTGCATCGTGCTGTCCGACCAGTGACCATATGTGGGTAGAAAGTCTACCGCATTCATTAATCTAAAATATTAAAGCAGTAAGTAATGGGACAAAAATAAGGTTAATGTGATTGTTAAAGTATACTACAAGTATTATACTAACCATTATCTCCAAGGATATAGAAATATATGTGATGGTAAGATGCAAGAATCACATTTCTAAGTTTGAAACCAAACTTATAGGACGAAGTTGGGCCTTTCCTGATTCTGTCGTTATGGTCTTAATGTATTGTGTTTTAGAGCTAGTTTAAGACCTAGTATTTTTGAAGATATTAAAGAGTTAATCATTTCTTACCAAATCATGTTTTTGTTTGGCAACAACACACTGAAGAAGTGCATCACAGACAAATTGAGAAGAAAAATCCACACTTACACAAAAGTACTGTCACTTCAAAGTAAAACTCAAGGGACACTTTCTTTAAAACGTTACTCAAATAAATTCTAACTTGCTTTTTTACCTTCTAATGCCTTTCCGGTTTTGCTGGTCTTAGACTTTGCTGTTCATCTGCGGTTTGTAAATGCAAAGTCAGGACAATTTGACACAATTTTTTGTACAATGTGTCAGAGTTCATGAAACGGTTGAGAAGAACCATCTTTACAGCGCCTTTTGTGTAAGTCTGCTGCTGGTGTAGCATGTACCTGCATTATCTATGAAGGACAATGTTTTTATCATTTTGGAACATCAACATGCTGACTTTATAATAAAGACGTTTATCAATTGTTCTTTTTCTTTAAACTTTGTTACCCGTATGTCAGAGTACTAAAGATGGACATGTCAAATTGAAGTGGGCCCTGGTGTAAATGTAAACTTCATTAACCCCTGTAGGGAACTTTGGAGATGTGAAAGCTCAACAGATTCCCCATGGTCCACTCGTCGCTACAGCTAGTCCACTGCAGGTCTGATCCTGAGCCAGTGGAAAGACTTAAACAATCTAAAAGATATTACTATTGTAAATAAACAATGATTATAAATACCTTCTGAAACCCATGGAAGATGCATGGTGCCGTTAGTATGGGCCGGGGTAAACTGAATGCAACCGACTACCACAGGATGTGGCTGTGAGGCCAGTGTTCACTTCATAAGAATGTGTCATTTGGGGAAAGAATGCACTTCATGTAACTGCACCAAACCTTTTGAATGTGTACATAATGAATATTGGAAATATAGGGTTCAAGACTGCAATTTTCATCTGCATTTTCAGATTAATCACAACACATGATACAATGCTAAAGGCTTTTCATACATAAGTCACTTTTATTTAGATATTTATCAGATTCAAAACAGACAAGTAAAATTCCCATGTAAGGCTTCATGATAATAACCATTCAGACATTTGAAAAGTTAGTACAAATAAGGCATTGCAGAGGTAAAACCGGTTGCGGGAAGGAGAGAAATAGTTAGCAAAGTGAGAAAGTTTAAACAGACATTACTCCCAATCTCTTTTACATACAATATCAACACACATTCAATTTCCCTGGACATGTCCTGTCTCAAGGACCGAAGCCTTAATTATAAAGATATTTGTACAGCGTTAAGCAGCAGCCTTGTAAAAGTCAATGCAAGTCTTCCTCAATTTTGCTCCATGTATCATTTCTGATGGAAGGATGTGTCCATGGTTTATCGTTTTGGGACCTCAAATCAAGAACTAGGGCATATTTTGCTGTTGACAATCTTAGTAACACTCATAATCTCTTCTGGCATTTTAATTCTCTGCATATATAGGCCAAGGACATGGTGGGTTTGGAATGTGCTCGAGATAATTAACCTCAGCAACAGCAACGCAATGACAGCTGTAGTTATGACAATTACATACAATTAACTGCAACGGTGTTACAGGTAGTACAAGCAGGAAGTTCATAAATTGCTCATAAAACTGTTTTTTTCGCTCGGCCGCCACTAAAGCAGAACCTCTGTGGAAGACCAGATAATGCCCCAGCTCCAGGCGTCAGTCTGAGTCTTCATCATCCAAATACTCATCAGCGTTACTGTGTGTCCGGGAGAGGTCTGGAACGAAAGGGCTGAAGTTAAAAGGTTTCTGCTCTTGTAGATATTGACTACGTTAAAGAAAAGGGTCAAACCACCTTCTGACTTTCAATATCAGTATTCTGAGTAGAGTACCAGGACCCCAGGCAATCACATAATCAGAAACTACAGCAAGCTTAACATCCATCTGGAGAAATTATTTTTATTTTTATCTTATTTTTATAAAGGAAAGAGCAGATTACCATTATATTTGGCTTTAGTGAGCAAAAAAGCTCGAGAATCAGCAAAGTAATGCCTAGCTTTAAACCAGTGGGACTTTTGTGAGAAGAAAACTTGTTTTTGTGTGAAGGAAACTTTATCCAACAAGAGAAAATAGCAGAGAAGTACAGTGGTGAATCTATCTACGTAGTATTGTACTCACTGGCTCCCAGTTTCCTCTTCAGAAGTGTCGCACACTGGGCATTGGTCGCCATTTCTAATGCCAGCTTGTTTTCATTGTTCCTGATGTCTGTCTTTGCATCTGGAACAATCATATTATGATTCACATTTCAGTAGATAGTAAAATCTAAACCCCCTGCTATAGGCCCATCTCCAGCTGATTAAGATTAAGAGATCCTTTATTTGTCTCACAGTGGGGAAATTTCAGTTATAGAACAGTAGGAAAGAGGAGCACACAGCACAAGATAAGTGAACAATAGCTATACTAATTAAAATAAAACAAAATCTCTTACTCTAGCATCAAAGAACAAGTATAAAAACTCAATCTTGAAAATAATAAAAAAGAAATATAAAAGTTAACTGGGTCTAGATTGGAAAATGGGGACCTTCTAACGATATTGATTTTCACAACCTCATTCGAATGAGTTTGTGAGTTTTTGAGTTCTTTCTTTGAGCGGAAAATAAAAAAAAACACTTACTCTTGTTCAACAACATCTCCACCAAGTCAGCGTAACCTTTCCAAGCAGCAGCATGTAGTGCGGTGTCTCCCAGTTTATTCTACAACACAAGACATCATGGTTCAAGACTGCAATTTTCATCTGCATTTTCATATGGACAAAACAAGAAAAAAGGCAAAAACATGCTTTGTGCTTATACAGTTAAACAGAGCATCCAGTTTGGGAAGTGACATTGGATCCCTGCAGGTAAAAGGCCCTCCGTTATAAAAGAAAAAGTAGAGCTGGTCTGAAATAACATGTGGTCAGTGCTGGACCACTTAATCTCTTGAAAAGGGCGTTGAACCATGCTGACCTGTTGGTTAAGTTCCACACTGGGCTGGCTGAGCAACATCTCCACCACATCTTAAAAAGAAAGAAGTGCTCAAATGAAACATCATCAAAAAAAACAATGACAGAGGAACTAAAGAAGCTGAAGAATCAAGAGGAAACTTCTTGTTCCTATTTGGACAAAACATTGAATTGTTTCTTGCTACTGTTGCAATTGTCCAAACTCACATTAAACTCATCCAGGAGCATTGCCCTTTGATAAAGGTAAAGATTTGAAATGCCAAATTGACATATTGAAATGTTGTAATAATCTTATACTTGGCTTGGAAGGTAAATGTACTTTGCCCTTTGTTAAATAAATTGATCATATAGTCAGTTAAGTAAACTATAGACCTAAAGCAGCTACTTTTTGGCACTGGGGCAATAGAAAGTTGACAATGACTGGTCTAAACAACAGGGTTAGCAGGCTTGACAAGACAGAATATTTTGTTGTTTTAGAGGATATTATGCAACTCAAATAATCGCTGCCTATGCAATAATTAAATTTGTGAGTTTTGATTTAGATAGATATCGTATTGATCCCTGTAGAAGAAATTCTAATTTAGACATGTATTGTAAATGTGTCTTTGTCATGCACACAATAGTAATACATTTAGCGGCACCATGGACAGGAAAAAAACAATAGACTCTACATTTCTTTTCCTGAGTAGTATTTGTGTATCACTAAAATACTGTCAGATGAATAATGTTTCAGCTTTCATGATTCATGCCAGCTCTTTCCCCATTTATCTTTCTGAGAAGCCATAATCACAGAGTTTGAAATACTACGCCCAAAGATGAGTGTGTTCAAAAAATAGTTACAGGAAAACGGCTCAGATTATGGCCCAATGTTATGTCAATAATTGTTGTTTATTTCCAGCAGTTTCATGGAAGTTACTCTTACAGCCTCATGTAGGAGACAAGAGCAGGCATGACGTAGCGGAACTTGCAGAGTGGCTGCTTGAAATGGTGTTCTATGTAAGAATGTTTACCTTTGTGTCCACCATGGCATGCCCAGTAGAGGGCAGTATTTCCAGCTTTGTCCAGACCATTGGTTCCCACTTTGTTCTCGAGGCATTCCCTCAGCCAGCTCAGATTTCCTGTTATTGTCATATTAACAGTTATTTGACACTTTTATTTCAAAACATCTAGAATACAAATCCATTGAACATAATAACATACATTTCTACATGTTTTGAAATGCGTACCCAACATATAATCATTAATAACTGACTAATTCAGAGATATTTTAAAATGTCCTACCTCTCTTGGCTGCCTCGTGCATTGGGTTGTCAATAGTTTCTGCATTCTCAGCCACTGCAAAGACATTAAATTAACCTGTCAGGGGAAGTGCCCGGGACTCAGAAGTTGATGCTCAAGACTTGGTCCGGACCAGAGCTGAAGGACATTACCCAGTGTCCAAGTCGTTCAAACTGGCTCTTTATGACAGCCCTTACATTCTACACAGGTGTGATGTGACTGTGTAGAACTTACCGTAGTTGCTTGGTATAAACCCTGTTCTCCCTCTGCAAGTTCCTTTCCACCAGTTACTGTCGCTCTGCAGAGACCAGAGAGAGATACATTTAACATGAAATCATACAAAAACTAGAGTCAAATTATTGATCAGGAAAAGGGATGACGTACTGTGTCAGATATGTAGAGGATGTCTCCCTCTTCAAAGTACAGTTCAGCAGTCTTTTAAAACGAGACACAAAAGATAAAAATGCATTGGTTTTAAGTAGTGCTTTTGGACATTCAAAGACGCTTCAAATGTCATTTTTCATTCATACGTACACGGTGATGAACTACTACTGTAGCCACAGCTGCCCTGAGGCAAACTGACTGAAGCGAGGCAAGCAGTATGTGCCATTGGTCTCTCTGATCACCACCAACCATTCATGCACACATCAGACTAATTCTAGACAATGTGGGCAGTTTAGCAATTTACAGAGTTGAGGAAGTCGTGGAGAACACCTCTCCAACATGCCAGTCGCCCCACTGTGGCACCAGGTGCTCCCAGAGGTCTAACCAGGGCCTGTCCTGGTTAGCTTCAGAGGTCTGGCCGTTACAAGCAGGTGGTGCCTCTTGTTAATGGAGATTGTTCATATTGAATTAAATACACTTGATTGGTATTATAATAAGTAATGCAATAAATACCGATCTGGGGTCAAAGGTGTACAAGGCTCTGAAGACTTTCACTTGGCCTGAAAAACAAAACATTCTTTCTCAATGTGATTGTACAATGTGATATTTCAATAACAAATAATCATTTGCCTTTTAATAACAGTAGGACAAAACACACGAGTCCTTCCTTGTACATCCAGAAGGTACGTGTTTGTTGTGCGTTTCACACGTGATGCAGCCCATAGGAAAGAGTTGATGCAGGTCTGTCAGAGTGAGACCAGCCACAGTCAAACTGGACAGAGTCCTGTTCTGTAGGAGGGAAAAGGAGCTTTCTACGCTCTTTGTAAATGGACTGCTTCGACCATGACAATTCATTTAAGAGTGGACTAAAAACTAACTTTCTATCCTCCTTAACGTCGATAACCCTTTCATTCCTTTTTGTAATTTGTTTTTTTACTCTCTTGTTTTGTCCTTGTTAAACACAGAGTTGCAGTGCTGTATGAAGAGTGATATTTGAATAAAATGTTTCAGAAACACAGCAGTTGAGGCGAAACACCTGTACATGTTATTAAATTATACTAAACATCAAAGTAATAAAACAGCATTCGATTCATTTCTAATTGATGAAGCAATTGAACATGTGGCAGGTGTTAAGCCATCGATAATATCTGATACAGTGGAACGAAATGTCAATCAGCAGGTCGAGGTCTCCATCAGTCCTCGTCCTAGTGTTGTGCTGCCTGCTGTTGATGCTCCGGTGGTGGGTGTTGGTTTGCTGCAGTGAACTGGGCCTTGTGTTTACCGCACACACAGCCTCAGTGTTTCTGCACAAACTCTGCTCTGTGAGGCTGTGCAGGCCCCATCACGCCTGCCAGCACTGGATCTCTGCATTCTTTAGCTAATGAAATACACCGATCAAATCTAAACAACCTGGATTAGGAAGGGTAAAACAAATAAAGGGGTATTATTGCCTAAAAACTTCCCTTATTCCTAAAAAAACTTTTAGGAATAAGGGGCCTAACTTTTATTAGTTTGTCCCAACAGAAAGAGTGTAAAATGTTGTGAACAAATCAAACATGCGTCTTCATCTCATTAGAAAACATGGTTAGAAAGTGTCCCCAGTTTATATATTGTTTTGGATTTCACATCTCACACTGTAAATTCAAAAGGAAATCTGCGGACTCAATCCACAGTCTTTTTTTTAACTATTATAATATAATGAGTAGTCATTTTTTTGACTATAGAGCCATATATCAGCATTCCATAAAAACTGATCGCTGAGTGGGCAACAACATTAACTATATTTATTTATTGGAAAAGTAAAAACATTTTACACATTTTACAATAAATGACTGAGGATTGTTGATAACTGACCACAAATCCTTTAAATCCATAACACTGATATACTCCTAGAGTCTTAAACAGTGGCCAGCTTTATTTGATGAAACTTGTATTAATTAAATGAAAGAAATTTTTTTTTTTCCACAATCGAGGGTTAGGTTTAGAGTTTTTACAGACAAAACATCTTAATTTACAGTCAGACCATTTATTTATAATTAATGGTCCTCGCTCTTAGAGTTGTCAAAAGTATTGACACTATAGATTCATCTACGGTTAGATGAATCGTTACTAAAACTAGGACCAAAATGGGACACCCATTTCAGAAAGTATTGATACTGAAAAAAGACTGTATGAACAGAAAAAGAAAATGGAGTGATTTTGATATAAATCAAGACCCGTAAAACCTTGTGGTATCATAATGTTGTGAACAATGCACTTTGTCCAATAAAAAAGTGGTATCGAAATTGTTATCAAGTATTGAGTATGGGTCTTATCATCAGAATAGAATTTGTAATTCTAGTATCCTAAACAAAATGTCAGCAAAAAAATTGGCAGCGGTGTGAACTTGAGGATATATTTTGATGTCTTCCAGCTGCACTGTTCTTTTGATCTATAACCACACCTCCTGCTCAAAAGACATGTCCGGTCCTGGTTGTGCTAAATCACCATTCCTAAATATGATACTTATTAAGTTATAAATTAGAACCACTATCAATAAAGGAAATCCCTTAGGTCTGAGTGGTATGACCAAATAAGGTGTTTTTCTAATACTCATCAATTATGAGTTTTGATTCTTAAAAAAGCATAACTATAGACAATTAAACATGCCGAAATAGGTTTTCAAATGCACACAATGAACATATATAAATTCGAGAATACATTATTTGTGCAAACCCTAGTTGCAGGTCAAAATATGTGTTGTAGGTTCTCTAGTTGCAGGTTGCCTTTCCTGTCCACTACTGACACAAAGTTGTAAAATTCCTGTCAATGGTATGCAAGTAGAAATGCCAAGGATGTGATACATCTCAATTGCAAGTGAATGGATCTGTAAAGAAATATATTAAGGTAGATTAAGGATATGCTAGTGTTTTATGTTGAAATGTTAGTGTTTGTGCATGGGGCTCTGTGTGCGAGATGGATTTGCATGGGCAGTACATTAGTCCACAGGTAAAGCCATCTGGCAGATAGGCAGAGGAGTGGGTCAGACGCTTCACACAAAAGTCAGGAAGAAGAACCGCGGAACAAAACTCCAATAACTTTTATTACACGTAAATTACAGGATTGTCTACTTTGAACATTTACAAAAAGGAAGTTACAAAAGCCTGCTGCTTGAAACTTGAACCAAATGTTGATACAGCACTTCAGCACCTATAGAATATTAGCTTTATGTGGCATTACTTTTTTATTGACTCATAATGTGTAAGTTCCTTGTTTTACTCCTGATGACCCCTGTTCATGACGATCACACCGCCAACAAGGTGTGCTAACCCAGTGTAGGTTTGACACTTTCATTAGTGTTTAAAGTTAATTGGTCTTACCTGGTTTGGCCGGTTTGGGAGGAGGCTTCGACATTTGTAAGTCCAAATAAAAGAAAATAAAAGCAAAAATCTAGGGGTTTTGCTGCAAAGAAGCGTCGCGGGTCTGTAAAGTTTGGATTCAGATGAGGAAGTTCGCACTACAGCTGAGCAGGCGGAAAGCTCACACTGCGCATGCGCGGATACGTTTCTTTGACAAAACTAGCGCTAAATAAACTATTATAATATAACAATAATAAAGCAAAGCAAAGTTTGAAGTTATTTATCTTATGTGTGAACTCAATGTAGTATTTCAGGAAACATTATTATGATCGCCCCTAAAATGTCCATTCATCAGCAGCAGTAGTACATCCATGTTGTAGTAGTAGCAGCAGTAGTTGTATGTATAATATATTCTACTGCCAAATTTAGCTATTCATGATATAATGTTCAGTATTACTCTTGATAATAGTTTAACTGTCTCTGGGTGCATCTCAAGATAAGATAAGATAAACTTTATTGATCTCACAATGGAGACATTTTCATTATACATTCATTGGAGAAATGAGTTCAAACATACTGCCCTTTAAATCTACAGGGTTAGGGTTAGGGTTTTACAGAAAACACCTAAATGTATGCCCCGTTTTGTTTAAATTTCAATGTGTATACTTGTAATAGTACAAATAATAGTAATCATTTAAAAATGATTGATTTGTATTAAAAATATGTATAAATGATTAGTTTATTTGCAAAAACAGATAAGTGCCTTTAGAAAAATATTGTAAAGGCTTATATGTAATTTACCCTTTACTGGGTAGTTTTTTGAAAAGCCTAAATAAAGTTTTTCCCCTCTTGCAAATTTACCACCAATACCAAAAAGGTTGAAGATTAACTGATTTAGTGCATTGGACATTTTAAGGCCCTTATTATTATTATTATTATTTATATATTTTTGACCCTAAACTGTTGTAGGGGCGGGACTCGTGACGCATGACGCAGACGGCCAATCAGGAAGGATCAATATCGGAACAGCGTTTGGGTTAAAAACTTCTGGCTGCGGCTTTATGAATGTGCACTTTGTAATTGCGTTACTACACTGTACTCAGGCGCAGAAAAGCGTCCAAATAAAGAAGATATAAGATGAAGACAATCATTGTGGGAATTGGAGGGTGAGTAAAGCAAAACATGAAGTTAAACTATTATGCGTGGAGGCATTTGACCTTTTTGAGATAGCAAACATTTCTGTGTCAACATGTCAACCCTATAGACGGTTTATAGTCTAGGATCAACACACTGTCAGTATCCCCCAAGTTTGTTACGTTAAAATTTTTTTAAAAAAAACAAGATAATTTAATCAACTGTATACACGTGACACTATAGTGATGAGTAGAGTCTGAGATGCTCAATTCTTTGTTATCGTAAAGCTCGACATTTTATACTGCTTCTTTTTATGCTAAAGTTATATATTTTTTAAAATCTAGTATAGAATTATTGTTCATTTATCTTGTGTTGTGCTCCTTATTCCTTCTGTCTGTAACTGGTGATGCAACACTGACATTTCCCCACTGTGGGACGAATAAAGGATCTCCTAATCTTAATTTTAATAGGATTTTTAGCTAAGCCATAAAAACAAATACTATATTTGGTAGTAAATGCTTGTATTAAGTTTTTTATCCAAGCATTTTTTTCTCGTTTTTTGTTGTATAGTAAACATGTTGACTTGATGTAATAGTAGTAGTCGTAGTAGTGAATTTTGAAAAACTAATATTATTTAGTGCCCTAGGATGACCAATGGGGGAAAGTCTACTCTTGCAGTGAGGATGCACCAGCACATTCCCAACAGCTGTCTTATTTCCCAAGATGAATACTTTAAGGTACGTCTGCTTTCATTAAACTAACCCTTTGAGATCTGATGTTGTAATTCTGTCCCATGTGCATGTTTTTCACTCTCCAGGAGGATTCTGTGGTGCCTGTCGATTCAAATGGATTTAAGCAATACGATGGTAGAGTTAATTGTTTGTCGTTATTCTAATAATAGACTAATTTGTGAACCATAATAGTCGTATGAAAATATGGTTTTGGTTCACGCAATGCATCATGAATCACAATTATCAATATGGAAGATCTGACTGGAACATTTAGTTCTTCTTGCAAACTTGTATATGTGTGTGAATATTTTGTGTAAGGAATAGTGTAAGTTTCATTTTTGTATATTTTTTAATCTTTCTTTTCCGAATCGGATAATGTATAACTTAACGTCTTTCTATATTAGTGCTGGACGCTCTCCACATGGATCAGATGATGGATCACATAGAGACTTGGAGGAGAGACCCTCTGAGTTTTATGACGCAGAAAAGCCTCACACCCTCAGAATCATTGTCAGTGTTTGTGTTGATCGTGGAAGGATTCTTGATATTCAACCACAGGTACTGAGTAATGAGGCAGTTTTTAACATCTAATAAATAACATTGCAATTGTGATGCAATTTATGATGTATGTATTAGAAGTATGTGTACATAAGAAATACATTTCTAAAAAGTTTAAACTATAGCACAACTTTAAGAGATGAGAATACATTGCACTAGTGAATAAATGCGTAAGATAAGGAGTTTAAGCAGTTTTTATCTTTTAACATTTATTTTACATACATTGCGATCAGGACTATTCGTTTATTTGAGAATATTATTGTATCGTCATAACACAAGTTACCAATTGAAGTGAACTTGTAACAAGCTAAAGGAAGCAATTAATGAGAAAACATGTGTCTTGGCAAATTATACTAAAATCAACATACATTTTCCTTAATTTAGGACATATTAGATCGTGTCTTGTCTTTGTTTGCAGTTGTTTTTTGTGAGAGACTGAAATTACTGCGGTCTTTGCAATTTCAAAGAAAATTGAAATTTTGATTAGATTGTGATGAATTGTCCAGCCCTATGAGGAATAGACACAATAATTGATAAGGATTAACATTGAACTGCAAAATGAATAGTAGAATATATAAAGAAATCAATCTTGCTGTACCCAAAGTATATATGTTCTTTCCAAGTTGATTCACTTTTGACACTAATTTCACATCTTTTAATTGCATCGACACTTGCAGGCCATTGAATGCATTATTTGACAAAAAGTACTTCTTGGAAATACCATATGACATTTGCAAGAAGAGAAGAAGGTAAGGAAATGTATGGGATATTTAGAGAGTTGAAAACTTTCTCCTAAATATGTTTTTCATAGTTCTCGTGTATATATCCCTCCGGACCCCCCTGGATACTTCGATGGACATGTATGGCCAATGTACCTCAAAAACCGCAAACAAATGGAGGCAATTGTGTCAGACATTGGTGAGGCCTTAAAGGTTTTAAATTACATTCATATTTTTTACCAGTTTCTGTTCTCCACTTTAAACTGAGAATTACATGACATGACTGTGCCTTATACACAGAATACAGTCAGTCATTTACTACTTTATTTAAAATCTGTTTGTCTGTTGTATATACCTATATATGGAAACTAGATATTTGGTCTATTTCAACTGAGTTTTAAAACTTTTTTTGACATTTATAATTTGTTTGAGCTTTTGTCTAAAGTCTAAATAACAAACACCAAAAGATTAATTGCAATTATTAGATATTATTATGATATTAAATCAGTCATTTTTTTCCCATAGTAAATATATGTGTCATGCTCAGTGTTTGTAGATGGGCTGCGAGAGAAGGATCAGCTGTTTGATTCCGTGTGCAACGACGTCATGGAAATCATTGAGGAGCTAAAAGGTAAGACCACTAACATTTTTAACTTTTTTTTACTGACATCAACTTGTTTTATTTTTCAGACTGTATCACAGACCAACACCAATAACCCGAAGTTTAACCTCAAATAATCCTTGAAATCTGCTTTTCCTTTATAATGTTCAAACACATCGTGCCTTTGAGCCAAGTTGCTTGTTTTGAAATATTATTGTTATTCTATTTTCTCAGCTGTTTTATTCATGAAAACAGCTGTAATAGTTCAATACTCTATAAAGTTTCAGTAAAAAGTAACAGCAGAAACAACAATATATGGGATTTGTCTCCCCCTGGTGGTTACCGTGGGTTAATAAACAGTTATCAAAACATAGCAATTTACAAATCTGATCAGACCAGTTTTGTCAGCAGTAGAATAACATTGCCCAAGTCTAATTTTCTACTTTTAGCTACAGTTTTGATAATCTTTTTTAATAAAAACACGATCATATTTATTTTTTCTAAACAGCCTCCAATACAACTATATAAGATTCTTTATTCATCCAGAAACCAGATTATTATTGAGTTTCTGAGCTGCTAGCAAGCAGGCCCATGAACAGGCTATATCACTAAACACTAAAATAGTGCGTATGTAGAATGTATGGAAAGGGCAGTATAAGCCAAAAACCAATTTTCCACTACTTTATTATATAATGTTCTTGATTTCCGGTTCCTGCAGCCTCTTTCATAATAGAATATTATTAATTTTTATTAATTCTATAAATTTCCTTTTGAACTTAGTCTTGGAAAACCATTTACCATGAAAGTGCTTCTACTTCAACAGATAGAAATGTTGTATTGATGTGTGTCTTCTTAATAACATTGTTTGGATCCTTGTTATTTTGTTTTGTGCCTAAAGAAACACACTACAGCGACTTGTTTGTCAATGTCTTATTAATAATTGCAATTTTTTTTATAGGGACTGCAGATGGAAACTAGCTGTTTAGCTATAATCTGGTGCAGAACATATCTTTCTTTGAGCTTAATGTCTCTGTACATTGTCCCTTCAAATAAAGACTAAATAAATACATTTGTTTTTTTCTAATCATCCGTCACTACAACTATATAAGATGCTTTATTCATCCAGAAACTAGATTATGATTGAGTTTCTGAACTGTTAACATTGCAGGCACATAAACAGACTGTACCTAAAAGAAACACTGAAATAGTGCGTATGTAGAATGTATGGAAAGGGCAGTATTCGCCAAAACCAACAATCCACTACTTTATTATATAATGTTCTTGTTTACCGGTTACTGCAGCCTCTTTCATAATAGAAAGAAAGTTTTATTAATTCCACAAACTTCCTCTTGAACTTGGGAAACCATTTACCATGAAAGCTTCTTTACTTCAACAGAGGTTTTGTTTAAATGTGTGTCTTCTTAATAACATTGTTTGGATCCTTGTTCTCTTGTTTTGTGCCTAAAGAAACACACTACAGTGACTTGTTTGACAATGTCTTGATTTATAATTGCAATAGTTTGTTTCTGTATTTTTTTTTTTTATGTAATTTGTTAATGTTTCAGTAGTGTGACCTGGCTCCTTTTAGGAATAACTGTGCTGTGACTCTCATTATTCAAAACACAATTATAATTTACACAACACCGGTCGCAGATTAAAAAAAATTGCCCAAAACTCCCTGGTGTCTGCAGCAAATGTTTCAGTTAAGCACAGAACTGGCTTGACAGGCAGGCGCAGCCCTTGGACTTTCCTTACTTCCTTTTCTTGGGCCATATCCTCCTCTGACAGCTCATATAAAGAGCTTACCTCGGCATGTTTGTCACCTGCTCAGCGCAAACATGTCGAACAACTTGGCTCTTACGTTCCTGCTTTTTGCAAGTTGCGTTACAGCCATGCCGATGAGACTGGACAAAAACACAAATGACCGGCCAGTGATTGGTAAGAGATCAAGCCAAACCAACAACAACAAACTGATTGAAAACTCATATTCTTTCACAGGTATCTTGACTCAGATAGTGACTGATGAAGCCATGAAGCCGTATGGAAAGACCTACATCCCCACTGGATACGTGCAGTACATAGAGGCTGGCGGCAGCAGAGTTATGCCAATAAGGTGCGTTATAAAAGAGATTCGTCCTTTTATTTATCTATTCCTTTGATTTGTTGCAGAAAAAGTTTACATGAGGTTTGCCAAAGAACAAACATAGCTAAATGTTGTGACATTCATGCATTACTTGTTTGTTTTTTGTAATCATTGCTCTGTTCGAGTCTTACCGCACTTAACTACATGTGTTGGAATCTGTAAATAGAGCAGTTCACGATGAATTGGTTTCTAAAATTGTCTTTGAGTATTGAAAAAACTCTTTGTTGCGATTAAAGCTGCACTAACTGACTTTGGGATTTTGATTTCTCTCTTTCTGCTCCCCTCCCCGCACCCACGAAGCCATCGCCCCCCACACACACTCACTGTTGGGACGGAGCTAGTGTCTCCCAATATGGATAATACATGAATATGGATTTGCACGTGGATGACGTGACCATAAAACGATAGAACCGGGAAGCGCGGAGGAATGGGACGTTTGGATGGCTGTCTTGCTGTGTAAGCAGGAACCGGTGATGAAGACACGAAGCTTCAGGTTAGCTCCTCGGCTTGTTGTGCTAACTCAGCCGTCTATGCTAACGGACCTGTAGATTTCTCACGAAAGTGGGGGCCAGTGGTCTGCTGTGATTGGTCACAATCTGCGACCCGAAACCATGGATGTATCTTCCTTGTTTCATCAAAACTTGATCTAAAATATAATGTCACGCCAGCACAAATCTGCGCTAATTATTCTTCAAAAGGACGTATATCCCAATGCACTGCATGGACATGGATAGCTTTTTCGTAATGAATACGAAAATAAAGTCAGTTAGTGCAGCTACAGCCCTAGTAACAAGAAAGGAGCTTGTAATTCTTTCTAGAAGTAATGTAGCAATTAAAATATGTTTATTTGTTTTATTTTTCTGTTATAAAACTATTACTAATGTATCAGATGCTATTGTTTTTCTCATGGCTTGTGTTTTCCCGTACAGAGTAATTTATGATGAGAAGTATTATGAATCCGTTTTTCAGAAGATAAATGGGTAAGCTTTAAAATGTCTTGAGTGAAGTGAAATTGTTTACTATGTCTTTCCTTCCTTCCATGTTTAGACTTCTCCTCATTGGAGGCGCTGCAGATTTAGAAACATCTGACTTTGCCAGAGTAGCAAAGATCTTCTACAAACTTGCTCTGAAGGTTAGAGTTTTTACGGATAAATACTGAGTAAAGATCATTACTAACGTCTATCAGAAAAGCTTAAATATCCAGTGTGAGTGAAAAAAACTTGAAACTTGTATTGTATTATGGCAGACAAACAGTAAAGACAGAACTAAAGTGTGTAGACAGGGCTGGGGAGAATACATTGACGATATAGTTAGTTACAGAATATTGAAAACCTGCTTTCGAATGTATTAGTAATATTAAATGGTTCGACTAGAGTTCTGTAATCTGAATTCTTGACATTCTTTTTTGGAGGTGATGCGGTTTACCGTATACAGTACATGTAGGATTTACTGTTGTGAAGAGGCCACTCCTCGTCCCAAACAGTCTTTTTTACAAACAGCAAAAACAACACAGAGGTTTATTTTCTGTTTGCCTTTTTTAGCCTATAAACTTTAGAAAGGGGCCAGCACGGTCTTACCTAATTTGTCTAACTAAACCATCCCACAGAGACAGTAAAGACAAACACGTAGGCCTGAATCTGTAGTGCAGTGTCTCCCAAAGTGGGGTCCGCGGCCCCCTGGTGGGCCGCGAGGGTACTGCAGGGGGGCCGCGGGAGGTCATAAAAAAAAAATATATATATATATATATAATTATTTAATGTTAAATTTATAATGTTTTGTTTGTAATATTAAAATATTTGTGTTCATTATTTGACTTGAATAATCCACTGTAATCATTTTTGTATTACAATGTTTGTAGCAGAGGCTATTTCCCCAAAATAAAATAACCAGAAGAGCCTATTCTTAATGTTGTCTTCTTGGTTATTATTTTGGGGGGGCCACGCAGACCCGTCAGATTTTTAAGGGGGCCTCGGTGTTACTGAGTTTGGGAATGGCTGCTGTAGTGAATATCCGTCCTCCACACTTCAGCAGTCGCTCCTCTGAGCCTCTCTTCTTGTGTTCTCCACTCTATGTGGCCATGCTTACAATTGGTCATGTCGTAAAGCAAAACATTTGTACAAACTTCTTACTCACATTCTTGATAGTAAACAATACAGTTGTCTGTTGGTTTTGCACACAAAAACACTCTCAATTTGTTGTAGATAAATAGTCAAAGTCCCTGCATAAATAGCTTGTTCCTAGTCGACCAATGAAAATCTAGGTCGTCCAATACGTCCATAAGCCAAAGGCTCCCAAAGTGGGGGACGCAAGAGGATTTTGAGATGTACCCTAATTATTATAGAATTCTATTTAGTAAATAATTTGTGTGATAAAACAAAATATTCTAAGAAAACACGAGTAAGATAATATAACTTTGTAACTTATGTTTACGCAGAGGAAAGTCATTTTTTGTGTGGTTATTTTGCCTTGTATTAAATGTTTGGAAAAGTATGTTAGAGAGTGCTTAACTGTTTATTACATGTTGCGTACTACTTCATTGGTCCTAGAGGCGGCTCAGCTCTTCAATAAGGGAAGTTATTTGTTACTCACAGAATAGAACAATTCATCCAAAAGTTGAGCCAACTTTTGATTACACTGGGTGCTTTTTTATAGTTTACACCTCTCCACATGCTGCTGTTTGTTTGGGTGCGGATTATGTCAATTGTACACGGTGCTATTAAGAGAAGCTCAAACGTAACTTTATTTTGTGTTTTAGGCCAATGACGCCGGAGACTACTTTCCCATCTGGGGCACATGTATGGGTATGCAGCAACTGTCTGTTCTTGTGGCTGGTGAGAATCTGCTCTCAAAAACCCCAGCTGAAAATGAAGCAATGCCTCTGAACCTCACAACCGGTAATACAGTACTTCTAATTTTAGTTGTAAAGAACAAAGTATACACAACAACATTCAAAGTAGTTTACAAACGATACAAGCGCACAATACAATCAAATACCATTAAAGTACTGTATCTTGTTCTTTACCATTTCATTTGGACGACACATGAAGATTTAGCTGTTTTTTTGAAACTGTGACAATATTTAGTCCTGACTCTGGGCAACAGCAGGAGGCCAGTCCCTGTGCTCCTCAGAGTCCAGACAGACTGCCTGTGTGTCTTTTAGCTGGCCAGCTGGTGTCAGTAGAGATAAGCTTGTAAAATATGTTATCATGACTCGTTACCATGTCTCTTAGTGTCTAGAGCTTATTGAGCCACAGTTTTTGTAAGAAATGTGTCTCATAAATAAAATTATTATTGCTGAATTCCTGAATGTTCAGTGTAGAGATCGAGAAATAGTTATCTGCACTGGGAGTGGACTACATGTATGACTGGACTAAGACTAGACTAAGATCGATGTAAGAACGGACTAAAACTGGACTGAGACCGGACTAGGACGGGAAATACTGTATGTAGCTTTATGTCCCTGGCTCTGTTGATAATCCTACTGCAAATTATGATTAATATTCTAAAAATAAGTTGGGTTTTTTCCCCCTTTTCTTTTGCACTTTTATGATACTATTTTTCTTGAATTTGCAGATGCTTTTTTGAGCAGGATGTTCCAGGATTTTCCCCTCCCCCTTATGAAAGCCATCATGCAAGAACCTCTGACTGGAAATTTCCACCACTATGGCCTCACAATACAGGTATATCTTTTGTTGATCAATTATATACAAATACATTTTGTTCAAGTTAATACAGTCTTGACCCAATTTTCTCTCATAGAATTTCACCGAAAATGTTAAATTGAATAATTTTTTTACAATTTTGTCAACAAACATCGCTGACAACGGAGCCCACTTTGTCTCCACAATTGAAGGTTTGAGTTTAACATTTGTTTATGTGATAGTGCTGTCTAATGTTTCAGAATTCGTAACATGAAAACCGCTATTGTTCAAAATTGTAAATCAAAAATGTTTTTCTCCACAATCTTGCAAGATCAAAATTTTCTATGTAAGATCTGTTTTTTTTTTTCAAGGTACTTTTAAGAACTAATAACCTCAATAATAAAGATACATGCAACCAAATAATGAGGAGCAATCCAGACACATGCACGGAGACAAGCCTGTGGCAGATCTTTCACATCTAGATTAAACTAGAAACCGAAACATGACCACAACCCATTCTATTTCTTAGTTTATAACAATCATTTTGCTTTCAGGTAAGAAATATCCCTTCTATGGGGTACAGTGGCACCCTGAAGTGAATAGATTCAGTTGGGCCCCTAAGAACTACCCTCACTCCTATCATGCTGTGCAAGTGTCCAGTCTGCTGGCTCAGTTCTTCGTCAATGAAGGTAATATTCAATGAAAATAATCAATGAAACCTTATTATGTGACCTTGGTCTGTAAAATGCTATTTTTATAGATTACTTACTTATCCATAGCTGTAATCTAAAGAGCTGCATGGATTTTATATCAACCTTTTAATTTTGTATCATAAGAATTCAATAAAACTGAATAGGAAAATCTAATCACCAGTATGTCCATTACGATTCACACCACACCACCTTTATTCAGCCACTGTGGTCGATGGATAGCACTCTCGCTTCTACGCAAGAATGTCCTGGGTTTGAATCCCGGTCAGATTACTAATTATAACTATATAAATAAAGATGACTTAGTTACTATACTTTACTCATGCTTGGAATTGACACAATCAAAAACAAATGTCTGTATATACAAATGAAATGAAAGTTGCTGACTGGATTCCAAAGATTCCGAGCTTTACAAAGAGGTACCGATCCATGAGACTATATTGGTGGAGCTGAAGATGGCTGTATAACACTGTCAAACTGCCTCAATGGCTGCTTTGTGTTAGCCAGGCACAGGGCCACATGAAATGACAGCGGGCAGCATTTGGCTCTTTAGTTTGGACATGATCTAAATAGAACTGAGCAGTGAAGGGACCAGAGAGTTGCTGTGATTGAACTTTTGAAATTTTTTTTTAGGAAGGAGAAGTTTTCACAAGTTTAAAGATCCCGAAGAAGAGGCAAAGGCACTGATTTATAACTACACTCCAGTCTACTCAGCCGACTTCACAGCATATGAGCAGGTCTATTTCTTCTGACGCACGGAGGGATGGTGTGAATGAGAATATGTTAGTGTTGCTCGGATTGGGTCACAGCGTGAGTCAGTGTTAACAATGTATTTCTTTGACAAAACATCAAATTTTTACACCAGTGTTACACAATATTTGTTAATAAACTGTAAATATAAAAAAACTGCTAGCAATGATATGTTTCAGGAGAATTTAAATGCAAAGTTTACAAGCTGTGTGTGTGTGATCCTAAAACATGGAATGTGGAATCATCCAATAAAAGTATTACAACATTATTTGTATAAAACATTTGTCAATAAACTGCTAACAATAAAATTTTTCAGGGGAATTTAAATGCATAGTTTACAAGCTGTGTGTGTGCTCCTAAAACATGGAACCAAACTGCTTTTTACAATGCCATTGGTCTTGCAGTCTTTCTACATATTCCATTAAAAGTTGTGATCATGTGGTGATGAGCTTTGGGTAATGACCTAAAAGACAAGATCACAGATAAATTATTACACAATGAGTTTCCTCCACTGAGTTTACTGGGGTCTCCCTAAAAAGAGAGAGAGAGAGAGAATGTGAGAACCTCAGTCACATGGTAATTGCTCAAAAATATAGTTCCTGGACCTCCATCTGTTTCACATACCTCCTGGAAGCTTTCCTGTGAACAATGCCTGAACCTCCACACTCAATTAAATCTACTTTTCTCATGGAGACAAAACAGTGGAGAGGGAAACTGAAAAAAAATATTGTAATTTTGTTGTTGTTGTAGATTTACTCATTATTTAAAGCAGGGCGGCACGGTGGCTGAGTGGATAGCACTCTTGCCTCTCAGCACGAGGGTCCTGGGTTCGAATCCTGGTTGGACCAGGGCCTTTCTGAGTGGAGTTTGCATGTTCTCCCTGTGTCTGCGTAGGTTTCCTCCAGCTGCTCCGGTTTCCCCTACCACTAAAAATATGTACAATAGGTCTGGCATGTGCCTCCTGTACTGGCACCCCCACTCCCAAAAATAACAATTGTAAACCACTTTGAGACTCCGATGTGCAGTGAAAAGGTGGTATATAAATAAAGATTACTAAATTATACAGAGCATGTAATAAAAAACGCTTTTCCAAGAGTATCCAGTTGAGGACACGGGACAGTCAGTCACCATAGTTTATGTCTAGTAAAGGGCACTACTCCTCAATGGCATTTCTACTTCAGAATTAAGATTTACCTTGATAGAGGATGCAAAATACTATGCAATAGGTGTGGTATTCCTTTTATTACTAACCTCCAAATACAAATTAAATAAATTCACACACGCACACTGTTTTATATTTAAAGTATGCTTAGTGACTGTTTAAAAATACATATGTGTAATTTACCCTCTATTATTACTTGGCTATCTTCTGTTTTCTGCCCACCTCTCCTCTTTTGAAGCTCAAGTTTACCATTACCACTGTCATCAACCCCGCGTGGTGGAGACGCTGCTGCGCTGTGATTGGTGCAGGCGCCTGTCGGTCACGCAGGGGGCGGGAGGATGCTGTGGTCTAGTTTGTGTCTCGCTGGTGCTGCTGGGTCAGTCCACTCACTGCTGTCATCACTGAACACTAAACCCTCCGCGGGCAGAAACCAGCGGATATTCTCTCCATCGCGGGATTACCAGGCGAACATGGACGTGTGATTTAGGCCGGGGTTTTGCAGATCTCACGGCGAGGAGCGCGGGTCGTCTCTGTCCATCAGGTCCTCGGCTCTTCCAGCGGCTCTTCCAGCGGCTCTTCCAGCGGCTCTGCGGGCGGCCAGCAGGTGCCCCCCGGAGCTCATCCACCCGGGCAACTCGTCTGCGGCGTGTTGGTAAACAGGAGTCTCCCTCTGGCGCATTGATGCACCCGTTTCAGTGGTGTAACGGTGAGAAACCATCTCTAAACCAACAGGCCACAAATACATTCACTTCACACCAGGATTCTCAAATGACAAAGAACATAGTTTGTGCAAATCTATGTTGTTTTGATGCTTTGTGGCGAGGCTGCACTCATGATGTCTGTGAGAGATTTTTAAGGGTTGTGTTGATGTGCAAACTAGCAGTATAGCCTAGTTTCTATTAGATTTAATGGCATATTTAATATCTCAAACGTGTCATTTATAGCTACATGACATAGGTGGGAGTTGGAGACACGTTTATCATCTTTGTGAGAAAAATAGATATTGAAGACATCTCTTATACTGGCCTATATTAGTAGCCCATATAGTCAAGGCTGTTGGGCTCTTTATCTTTTTTATTATTACAAGGTTTCCAGTGGGGCAGGTAATCATCATGTCCCCACGATTCACTAAAAAAAAACAATACAAAGACCTACATTTTAATATAATAAGATTTTGACGACAGGATTCTGCTATATTGACACAAAAACGTAGGCCTAAATGTTGTGAAGAAACAACAAATGATTGAGGAAATAGATTTAATTTGATAAGAAACACTATAAATACCAGTGCTTTCTTTCTTTCAACGTATCTCAATTATTGTTACAAGGAACAATGATGTCTTGTGTATTTGTATATTTTTCTTTCCTTCATAAACCTCCTGAATCGCCTGCTGTCAAAAGCCAACTCCTTTGTCTTGTAGGAACAACTTCAATAGAGAATTCTCTCGACCTCAGCCTTCACGCTCTCAACTGTGAATAAGTGCAATTAGAATGAAGACGTCTGTATCATTAGTGGAATGTAATTCATTTGGTCAAACATGGACTAAATAACAACTTTCTTTGTCTTGAGTGAAGCTAAAGCTGGTTTTATGTTAACACACACAAACATAGGTAGTGATTGTGAACAGTCAGTGGATTGCAATAGATTTTAAAATATTGAATGTAGAAACACACGGATCCAGCTTTTTATGTCTGATGCCGATCTTGATGCTGTGGCTTTTAATATCTCTCGATACCGGATATGAACTAATATCAGAGAAAGGCCTGAAAAAAACCCCAAGACGCAGCTACTTTGTTCTAAAATGTGTCAAATTGTGTTTTTTAACTATTCTCCTGCAAGATACAGAACTACTTTGTTTGAGGAAAACTCTATGACTGAAATAACAGTTTTTGTTTTAAAGCAATTCCCGATCCAACAATATTTCCATTATTAAGCATTCTCTAATTCCAGTATTGTATTGGTGCATCCCTATTTGGTTTAGACATTTATCGTATCATCCCCAAAGAGTTTTATTCTCGTGAAGATGTCCAAATAATTGTGATCCATCATGTCCAATAATGATAACAAAAAACGAAAATATTTCCATTTTTGTATTAAAAATTAAATTCTTTCCAGTGTATTACTCATGTGGTTTATCTATTTGATCGCTCTTGGATTTTCAGTATTTCCCCTTAGTCTTTATCAGAAAGGTTGATTTGATACCAGTAATGGATTAGACATGTTTGAGTGCCTCTGTGTGGGCTCATGGTGAGGTCCAATACAACCAGCCCCTTTGTATGCCTCAAATCCCCTGCTGTCCATAGAGGAAATTGTACTCGCGCACTGAATCAAAGAGTGACATTCTGCTCCCAAAAATGACGGCGGTACTAGGCGACTATAGCTTGGCGTTTGTGGTGGATATGAATATTCACAGAGAACTACGTCATATTCTTGGATACTCACAATAGAGAGGATTATTTTTCAGTTCACTATAAAAAAGTCTAAAATGGAAATCTCAGAAATACTGGCATTGTGAATGAATATTTCTTGTTTTTTTCTATTACAGAGCAGCTTTTTATGATGTAAACCCTTTAAATGTTTTGAATGAAAGTTCTCCATAGATTTGAACATAAGCTAGCTGGAGCCTATTTCCTTTGCACCGTAACAAAGGGCAGACGTGTTGCTATTGCTAAGACAAGCTGAAGTTTCCCCGCATATGAAGGCGTCTTGTTAGTCAATCTTTATATGGCTCGTACCTGGTCAATCTGAGCCAAAACTTTGTCCATGAGCACTTCCCTATTGGGCTTCATCGAGATAGGGGGTTAGCATTGTCCGTCTGCGGTCTATGATGTGTCCCCAGATAATAGGTTAACATATACAAATCATAATTGACCTTTTCTGAACAAAAGTGGAGTTCGTCTTAATTGAAAATACAATGGACATGATTGGGTTGGGTTGCCAGGTGAAATATTGTTGCTTTTGTTTTGTTTTTTTTCATAGACAAAATTCACAAACAAAAAATCAGCATCACACATCAAAAGCTGCTACAAAAATAGTAATATACACATAATACACACAGTTAGTATGGTTTATAGCTAAATCCCAGTTAGTCAGGAGCTAAATATGTCACATGCAGAAAGATTCTGGAAACAACAAAACTTGGATCGTAATTGTGACTTTTTTTTTACCACTAAGAGTGCATAAATCAACAGTTATTATTACTGTCTCTTATTACAACAACATATTTAAGTTTTGATAGTGTTTCTTTCAGCCAAAACCAACGCACCGTGGATAGTAGTTAGCAAGTTAGCCTCCGTCGTATCTTCTAACTCTTTTTTTTTTTCTCATTGAGATTATACAAGGGGTTCAGCCCTCCATTGCCCAGTGGAGATTCCCTTCTCTATTATGTGTGAAAATATAAGGTGCATGTTTTAGGAACATTTTTGTGACATTTATTTCCCTCTTTTCAATAATATAGTTTGTTTTGACATCATCTTAGTTGTAGACACTGTACAGTCTGTATGTCTGCTCCTTTTTCATGTTTCCATTACCCATATGTGTTTATATGACACATATAGTGCTCAATGCATGACACAAACCGGTCTGAACTTAACCTAGTTTCTACAAAAATAAAGGGGGAGAAAACAGTGGCAGCGGCTCTTCAGGCTAGAGTGTTTCTCCCATGTGAAGTCTTGAATATTTGATGGGATGTTCTCTACTCTGCACAAGGACTCGCAGCTGCTTTGTGTGAGTATATGGCAAATATAGGCCAAAATCTCCAGCTGACATCTCAATGACAAATCACAGCTTAGTGTTGTCAGGATATTAACAATTAACACTCGATTTTGATGAGTTATGAAGGCTAAATGAGCTCTCAATCAAAATATTATGAGAAAGAATATGTATTATGGATTACTGACTTTCATGTTTGAGCATTCCTTCGTGCATTCCCTCGTTCCCTCGTGTATTTTATTTAGTTTCATCCATCACTTGTTTCCACATGAACTCCTGCCAGATCAGCCTAGGTAGAGCTCTGATGGTTTGGTAAGTTTTGCTGCTTTAGACCCAATAATCACAGGCAAAAATAGCGGATAATTTAGCTCTAGCCAAATGTAGGACAGGATGACTCAATCAGGAATAAAACGGGGATCACGGTTCAGTCGCTTTTATATCTATGTCATCATATTGTTTGTATATAGATCATTCTAAAAGTGTTTCTCAATCCAGTTCAGCAGCTCTATTAGATTTCTATCGGTGGTGTCTGCCTGAATCTCTTTGTCCCTGGGAAAAAAAAAGTAATTTCACTCAGTCCTTTTTTGCATCTGCTACTGCGGGTGCCATGGTAACGCCTCCTGTGAGTGCATCCATATATAGGTCAGTGGTCATATAAGGCTCCTCCCATCGCCCAATGCTGACAATACCCCATAAGGCTGTCTGCTCCTGCTGCACTATTTATAGATACATGATATTCATTATTAGCAGTAAAAAAAATTAAAAACATAAAAATGTCTATTTTTGTAAAGGTAAAATGAGTGTATTTTTATTCCTGTATTTAAACTATTATCAAGATTTCTATTTGCATATTTGAACATAAAATTAAAGCTGAAGTACATAACTTTGAAAACCACAAAATTAACTACAATCAAATCCAGGCTGCTCTCAAAACAGTTTTGTTATATCTGCAAGTATTTTAGCGCTCTGTCATTTTTCTACATCTGCGTTTTCTGACTGAAAAGCAGAAAAGAGAGTTCCAGCCCTCACTCAGGCGATCAGCTGTCAGTACGTAAAATACATACATATATCAATCTAATAAAATAAAGACAGCATATCATACCCTGATTTGTGTATGTACCAGCCTGATAATGTTTTGATTTCCTCAATGCATCTCTGCCCAGACAGGTCATGCTGAGTCCAGGCCATCTGACTCATATGTGCCATGACATGCACCGTAATGTTGTATAAGTTAAAATGTACAGCGAATTGTGCAAAAAAACATTAATAAATCATCTTTGTGATATCAAAAGTCTAGAAGTAGTGTAATTTTAGTATCCCGACAATACTAGTCCCATGTGACTTGTGCGATGAGCGCAATACATATAATGACAAATGAGCGATTCATATATTTCTCTTACCGTTTTAGAATGTTAATGTTATTTAATTGAGACCAATCAAAACTAAATAATATATCTGATAGCCAGCGTAGTGCAATGATGTGTAATAATTTCATGTATAAATCATATGTTTTTTCATGCATAAATGTTGCCATTGCTGCTAGAGCCCACAGACTCTTGGTCGAGTGGCTGGAAAGAAGAAAACACGGTGGAGACGAGACTTGTTTTGAAAACGTAACAGTTCCAACATGAAGATTGATTTCTTTCAGGAAAGAAAAGAAAATATGTATTGTTATCGCAGACCTTGACACCACTATCACATACTGTATCACATGTATTTCCAATAAAGATTCAAGGATGCGTTTGCCATTTGCAGTAAAACCAGATTGGAAAAGCTGTGCAAGACTGCCCCAGTGTGCACCAGATAGAGAAGTTGCACACACCAGAGCTATTGCCACAACAACCATGCGACAAATAATAGAAACAACAATAGCAGTTACACATATTTCTCAAGGACAAGTTGGATTGTGTCCTTATCTCTTAATGTCGCTTGTCAAATGTTCTAAGAATGCCACCACAGACAACATTTCAGTGAGGTGACGATTTAGAATAGGC